GGGTGCAGGAAAAGGAAATATTAAATAATTTCTGGGTCTCTTCATTGAATGGGGTATTACCTGCAGTAGATATTACGATTTTTGTAATTTTTTGTAATTTTTGTGTTTTTGTTTTTAAATGGACTTACATAAAATGTTCTCCTGATAAGGTGTTCAGATTTAGCAAATAAAAAATACAGAATTCCAGGGGTGCTTGGGTGGCTCAGTTCATTAAGGGTCTAACCTTAATAAGGTCATGATCTCGGGATTGTGAGATTAAGTTCCACACTGGGTGTGGAGCCTACTTGACAGTCTCTCTTTCTCCGCCCTTCCCCACCCCACTCCCATGTGCACTCTCTCTCAAACAGACAGAATTCCCATTTAAATTGAATTTCAGATGAAGAGCAAAAATTTTTTTTTTAAGATTTTATTTATTCATTTGACAGACAGAGTTCACAAGTAGGCAGAGAGGCAGGCAGAGAGAGAGGGAGGATGCAGGCTCCCTGCTGAGCAGAGAGCCAGATGTGGGTCTCAGTCCCAGGACCCTGAGATCAGGACTTGAGTCGAAGGCAGAGGCTTAACCCATTGAGCCACCCAGGTGCCCCCCAATTTTTTTTTTATATGAGTATATCCTATATAACATATATCTCATGTAATATACAGGACATATTATACTAAAAAAAATCATTCATTCTCTATCTGAAATTCCAGTTTAACTGAGCATATTGTATCTTATCTGATAGCCATCTTCCTGTAGTTTACTGAAAGTTGTATTTATTGATATGTAGAATTCAGTTCAAGTTTCAGTATGAAATCACTGTTGTCTTTGGTTTTCAAGGACTGAAATTTCTTGTATAAGCTCTTTGTGCTGGGCTTCTGTTTCTCTGCCCATCTCACTGTGCTTTCAGGAGCAGAATGAAAAATTTATTTTAGTTTTATGTCTAATGAAGACAGATTTTAGAAATCTAATAACGCTTTGAGCTTCATAGTAAATATATCTAAATTTTCTCATTAGCTCCATCTAAATTTTCCCATTTTTTCTTTTTTTTCCCCCTTTTAGGTCCCTACTTAAGGTTTGTTAGCTTATAACTATACCTTAAGGTCTTTCACTTTGTTCCTCAGAGTAAGGATTAAATAATATGTTTCCATTTGTGCATACAAACACATACCAATAAATGATTAATATGGAAAAGATGGGTCATTATAAAGAAATTTGATTCCCAGAAGGGAATATAATATACTGCTTTCTGTAGAAGTAGGGGAAATAAAGGCCAGAAATAAACTAAAACATAAAGATGATGTTACTATCATTTTAAAGAAATACTCTTTTTCTATGAATTAGGTTCGCAGCTCTTAAAGATTAAGAAAAAGTTATCTAGAGCCTTGTTCTGTTTCCTTATGGAGAGTGGTGGTGGGAAACCCGAAACTCATACTTTGAGCAGACCAAACTTAACTTACTTCTATCTCCAACTAGAATGATTCCAGAAAAAGGAAAATTACAGAAATAAGGATTTTAAAGTTTTTCCTTTATTTTTATTTTTTTATATAAACATTAATTAGGATAAACTTGGTTTCCAAGAGCAGCCATCCTACAAAGAAAAATATTGTACATTTGTAATATATAATAGTTTGGTCCACACTATTCTAGCATTTCTGTAGCTCTTCCAATGGAGTTGAACAGAAAGTTGGACTTTAATCATCTAGAAAACTTGACTTTCTGGCTTAATCAAACCAAATCGAGTATATCCAAGATAGGAGTTTTCTATTTATCTTCATTTAAATGTCTATAGCATAATTGATAATTTGCCAAAGAAACACAGAGGGCCACATAAGTTATTTCTATTTGGGGAGATCTATCCTGATACTATTTCTTACTACCCAAAATTAGTTACTGCCTAGCAACCAGCCTCTTTTTGACAATGTCTCAGAAAGGCTAAGGATGGCTTCAGACTGAAGGCTCTGCGGCACAACTCAGTGTTAGAAATATTCCAGAAACTGCCATAATAGGAGCAGGACAGGGTTCCTGGGTCACACCAATGGTCTGGGGTCAGACTAAATGAAACAGCCTTAAAAGAATGGGGAGCCAAAGTACCACAGATGAAAGGTGGTCATGGTAAATATCCCTCTCTCCTTGTCTGATCTTGACCAGTGGCCCTCTTATGCCATTTTAGTTCTGACACCAGAACTGCTGAGAGGTCAGATGATTACACATTTTCCGGATGAGGAATAATCATCTTTTAGCATAATGTCCCACGCAGAGACGAGAGCTCTGTAACAGAGTGACCTTTTTTTTTTTAAAGATTTATTTATTTATTTGACAGAGAGAGAAATCACAAGGAGGCAGAAGTAGGCAGAGAGGAAGGCAGAGAGGGAGAAACAGGCTCCCTGCTGGGCAGAGAGCCCGATGTGGGGCTCAATTCCAGGACCCTGGGATCATGACCTGAGCCGAAGGCAGAGGCTTAACCCGCTGAGCAACCCAGGTACCCCCAGAGTGACCATTTTTAATACGTTTGTATCAAAGTCTAAAAACTCCCATCACCTTACTAAAATAAAACAGTAAATACTCCATTCCAGCGCTACAGGAAGAAGGTGATGATGCAAAGAAAGCAGAGGAAATAATTGAATGTTTTGACATTGTGAGACTGTACAAATGACATCTTTTGCAGAAGACCTGTTGCTGGCAATTCCATACATCAACAAATAAATTTTATCCTTCACTGAAACTAATGGTTAATTGGCCAATAGGTTACAATTTATTTTTATTTTATTTTATTTTTACTGTAGACTTAGCAGTCAATTTGTTTTTATTGGCATTTTTACAAAGTCAAGGAGACAAATGTATTTATCTGTAACTTTCACTCTCAGCTGCTTCCAAAATAAGATGGGATTAGACCCTTCTAATTAAGTTATAATTGAACCACATGTCGAACAGAATTTTTTCATTAGTTGGAAAGATAAGAACTTAAAGGATACGTAAGATGAGCTGATTCTTCTCATCTCCTTAGGTAGGATGGTTATTATACTTGAGCATTGCTTGAACTCTGGGTTCCAAAAAAAGCTGAGCAACCTGGTAGATTATATACCTTCCCTCTTTGCATAAAATGAAGAAGCATCAGGTCTTTACAACATGCATTGAGGTACAGTTAGTCTTTATGCTGTGCCTGAGCAAGATTGCTTAAACATCTAGAGAATTGGGTGTCCCGATTTCTGCAGATATTTCCTATAAATGGGCTACAGTTTTCAACTATTACCATTTTATAGGATCCCAGTTTTTAAGCGTGATATACACACAGTATGTGACTTATTTTTAATATTTCACTTCTATTGGGCATTTTTCAGATACCAACTAACATTAACATGAGCAAATTTGCCGTTTTGGCTTACCAGTGCCAATACATGTCAGCCGTCCCTCTCCCCTCCCCACCATTATTTTTAAGCTTGTTTTTATTACTTTAAAAAAAAATTGATACCATGTGATGATAATAATAAAAGAAAAAAAGGAAAAGGAATTAATCTCTCTTTTGCTTTTCATTATCTAAATGGTCATTTGGATTACAACAGAGACAGTCCAATCTGCATACCATTTGGGGTTTTTTTGTTTTGTTTTCTTGTTTTTGTTTTTCCTTTGCATACCATTTGTGATCATAAATGTTGCTCAGTAAAATCGGAAAAAATAAAGCATGGCTTTGTTGATATATGAGTCATTCAATTAATAAGCAGTTTGAGCTACTTCTTCATGCACAGTATACCTGGCACTAGCATAATAAACAGATACCTGCTCAGAGAAGGTCTCCACAGGAGAACAGTCCCCAAAGAGTTATGCTTGTATACTAGAATCTGATTCATCATATGGGTACAGACATTATTTTTAAATTTAAGACTAATGAGCTCTTCTGTAAGCAGCCCGAAGTGATATCTGAAAATGGTTCGCTATTCACTTGACCCAGAAAACCTTATAAAATCATGCAAATCAAGAGGTTCAGATCTCCATATTCACTTTTTAAAACGCACGTGAAACTGCCCAGACCATCAGGGGTATGCAGATCCGGAAAGCCACCAAGTATCTGAAAGACGTCACTTTTGCAGAAGCAGGGTTTGACATTCTGTGTCCACACTGGTGGAGTTGGTAGGTGTGCCTGGGCTGAACAGCAGGGCTGGACACGGGGTCGGTGAGCCAGAAGGAGCACTGAGTTTTTACTGCACATGCTTAATAATGCAGATAGTAATGCTGAACTGAAGGGTGTAGATGTAGATTCTCTGGTCATTGAGCACATACACGTGAACAAAGCCCCCAGATGTGGTGTGGAATTTACAGGGCTTGAGGCCACATTAACCAGACATGATGAGCCCCTCCCTGCTGTGTCCAGATGATCCTTCCTGAAAAAGAGCAGCCTGTTCCTAAACCGGAAGAGGAGGTTGCAAAGAAGAAAAAGATACCCCAGAAAAGACTGAAGAAACAAAAACTTGTGGCCCAGGAGTAAATCCTGCATAAAATAAATGCAAATTAAAAAAAAAAAAAAAAAACAGGAAAAAAAAAATGTAGGACTCAGAAGTCTTGTTGATTGCTTTTTAACCAGATAAAGAAGAATTCTGCTGTACACAAAGCAGAATTATTTTTTACTAAGCAAAGGTATTTACCTTGAAGAATTTAATTTCCGTCTATATTCTCTCTGTCCCTCTTCCCCTGCCCTCCTCCCACCCTGCCACCCTCCCCCATTTCCTACCTATGGCCAGGACACAGAAATCCCTAAGGATGGCTCGGTATTAGATTTTGTAACGCAGCTGACCATTTGCCGTAGTTTACCTTCTCTGTGCCTCAGACTCCTCAGTCATCAAATAAGGACATGTTCTTAGAATAATTAACATAATTCCAGTGAAATGATTTGGGCTCCTTGAAGAAAACTGTAGCATATTTTGTCAGGCAATGAATTAATATTAATGCAATCATCTGAATATCATGCCACCCGTAAGTGGTAGCAGGTTATATTTTCAAAGTTCAAATATTGTTTTCTTTATTACAGGTTTCTTTTCTCCATGGAAAACTCCAAAGCCTGTAAGTTGGAATTATTATGCTTCCTTCTTTATTTCTAGTTATTATTGCAATCCCAGTAAATAAGAGTTAATTGGGTGACAGCAAAATCTCTTTTACCTCTGAGATTCTGTGATGTCAGAAGCACAAATCCTGTGTCCCTTTGTCTTGTACTTGTCCCACAAATACAAAAATAGCATGTCTTCCTTTCCTGTAGAGGCAATTCTTCCTGTTTTTTTAATATACTTAGAAAATGGGCATTAGCACTACTCAATATGGCGTACTGTAGAAACCTTTTGTTTTCCCCCATCAGGAATAACTGTAGTCTTCATAATATGGAATTTTCAGACAAGATACAAATTGTATTCCTAGAGGTCTGGACCTGCAAATTAAATCTGGTGCATAAGGAATTTAGCTTTGTATCTATTTGTATGTTTATATTCACATTTTGATGTATTTGCTAAATAATGCGTCTGAATATTGTAGAGACATACATATTCCACCAAACCTGGCAATCACTCAACTTCTGAACCTCCTTCAGAAGCTGGTGATCTCCACCATCACCTAAGTTCTCTGGGCGTAGTTCCCTCATGAATCGCGATGCCAATATAGGAGGCTGATGGATTTTAATCATCTTTCTGTGTGGCTAGGTTAGCCAAGTAGACTTTGCAAGTAGAAGTAATTTCTCCTTGCCATTAGATTGAAACTCATTACTGGCCAAGTCCCCAGAACTGACACTGGTTTTCTGGGATCCTGTTTCACGGTGGGCTAGAATACCATGTCCTGCGTGGGATGTCTAAACCCAAAAGTAGAAGAGAACTATAGCGAAGTGATTCAAGTCAAAAACAAAACACGGGGAAATCACTTCTTGGGCCTACGTCTTTTCTTCCCTCTCACCCTGAGCAGCTCAGATGAAAGTGGCCCCAAGTCTGGCCAGTGAGTAGGGAATTCTGGCTTAACTTAGGCTTCTCCTGTTTCTTTCACGGAGGGAATATTTAACTGCTTGATTTTCTGTTTTTACAAAGGGAGGTAATATGATTTTGCATCCTTTTCAAGTTCATAACTGGCTTAATTAAATAACGTAATGGTTTGAAGATGTGAAAGTGAAGTACTACTGAGCCCTGTCATATGCCTGAGCTCCAGGTCTCTCTCAAAGAGACATAAGGAAACCAGGAGCTGGAGATGAAGGACTGATCTGTCAGAGCTGCAGAACCTCCTCATCAACCTTGTCCTCCTTGAGGACTGTCTCATCTGGTCCACAGAGAAGATCAGATGGGCAAACTGGGCCCACGTGGGCTTAACAAACCATAGAGTGATGTGCATGGTTTGAAAAGAGGTGGTTTTAAAATGTTTAAAATGAAATTTGTTTCATCTTGGCCAAAATACAAATAATTTCTTCCTTTCATCCCCAAAGTTAATCTTTGCTTCTGTGGTTATACACATCTTTATCTAATTTAACAAGGAACCTTGCAACTTCATCATGGTGCTACAATTATGCAATTTAGTGATTTCCTTATATGTACCACATTTACACAAATTATGCCATTTGGCATAATTACAGCATTTTCTGTCATTATGGTAATTACATCCATAGTCAATAATTCCCAAAAAGGTTTTATAGAACTCAATTTACAATTAATCCTGAACCCACATGTCCCTTCCAAAGCTAAGGCTTGGACTTTCAGGTTCTAGACTGAGGATATAGGACTGTCAATGTAATGTCCTCCATGTATCCGCCAGAAGCTCTTTAGACTAAGGATTGTAATGAGAATCAGTATGATACACGTTTTGGGGCACAGGCTCTGAAGGCATACTGCCTGGGGTCAAACTTTGCTTCTCTTTAGTATCCGTATGACCTTCAACTAGACACTTAAGTTGTCTGTATCTCAAGTTCTGTCTGTAAAATGGGAACAGTGATACTACCCCACTCATATGGCCATCATGAAGAGTCTCAGTCCATGTAAGTTGCTTAAAAGTGCCTCTAAAAATATATTGAGCTCAAAAATATAAAGTACTGTCATCCTAGAAAGCAGACCCTCCATGCATAAAACCTCAATAAATTAGTGGCTCTATAAAATGAACATAGTTTACTGAAGCATTCATTGAAACAAATATATAAATATATACATACAGTGTATGGATTTATAGACACTTTCCTCTTGGAATTGACAGCATCTGTAGTCAGGATGAGGAAATGTTATCCTGAGTGAGATCTCTCCTCCTCCTGGTCCTGTGTGACTTCCTAACCCTCTCTGTCCTGCTCATCTACATCTTAAGCTAATCTGCATTGAGTTAGTCATTTCCTTGGTAACAAGTTATATACTAATTGTAGTGAGTTCTCCTTCTCTCCCTCTGGAAGGGATCCAAGTTCGTTCTTCAAGTACAGAATCAAACCAAATGCCTCTTCATATCCCAGCCCTGCCCTAAAACAGTGAGGGGGTGCATTTAGACTACACCAGCTTCTATAGAAAGCAAACAGTTTCTCAGCAGAGTACTTTGTGGGAGGTGGGGCACTGCCTTATTCACAAGCCCTCAACTCGCAGTGTGCCCCCTCGATGAGAAGGTGGTTCCGTCACGATTGGGTTTTCCTGCTTTATCGTTGGAGGTCCTGTTGTGGACTACGTGTCCGCTCTGTCCGCTGACAGTTCAGTGACTCTACTTTCATATAGTCAGGCATTCATTCATTCATTCATTCATTCATTCACCAAGGCCTGAAGAGTTATAAGGTTTCTCCCAGACACTGAAAACAACCTCATTTCCACTTTTCCTTACCCTAGTGAGATGCCTAGGCTTGGACACCATGGCGACTATACAAGGCCCATTCAGAAGCCTGCGAGAGGGAAATGTCTGGCGGGAGCGCAACTCTAGACAGGCCAACATCAGGAAGACACTAGGTGAAGCAAGTGAGGCCCAAGGGTCTGGACGATGGAACAGGATCAGAATCTAGGGTGTTCAAGAAGGTTGAGAGGAGCAAGTGAGTAGAGTGTCCCGGCTGGAATGCATAAGTCCAGAGACCACGTTGTCTAAGAAAGTAGAAATCAACAGAGTGCGCCCTGCAAAAGATGCTATCAGATCAGCACACCAGCCCCAGTGAGCAAGGGGGAACCTCTGACCCCAGGGCAGGTGGTTTGCACCATGGTCTTCAGGGCTGAAGCCAACAAATAACTCGATCTGGGGGTGGGGAGCAAGTCTGCTTCTTCGGTAATTTCATGGGCACAGTGATTTTCTGCTCTACAGTCTTTTAAGAAAGGCTGACAGAGTGACTCAGGGGTTGATGAATGTCACAGCAAGATATTGTGAATGCTTTACTAAGCATAAACCGGACTCTTGACTAATTCCCCCGTTTCCATGCTATAGGAATTGTAGAATTTGTCACTCTGCCCCAGTAACCTTCCCAACAGTGCCCAAAGCATTATTTGTTCTGTAGTTTTACGAATGTTTTTTAGAAATACTAATATTTCACCTGAAGCATGTTTGCTCCAATGACTGCACATGAACAATACATATACTTGCAAGCCCTATGTGGGTATCAGCTCCCCCTCAGCAGAAGATGAGAGAAAGCAATAGACATCAGCTGAAGCCCTCAGATGACAAGTGGAATTCTACAGCTACAAAGTCCACAAACCTATTTACTGTTTAGAAGTTAGAATCTTATGTTTGGAAACAGAAGGGAGAAAGTCACAGCCACAGTGTATCCACATAGTGCCTAAAGCCAGTCACTTTGAATGAAAAATCGAAAAAGAATATGACTTTACCCACAAATATGGGTCTTCTCATCATAGCAAAGACACAGAGAGTGGATGACCAAAGAAACCCAGAATGACTTCCTAGATGAATTTTGCTATCAAATGAATTATGAGGTGCAGATTTTTACTAAATGAGAGCAAAAGGGCCACTGAGCAGAACATTAGCGAAAATTCTAAGCAAATTTGCCAGTTATTCCCCTCAATGTGTTATTGTGAAAAGCACTCCTGTCAGAGTTACTAATTGGGTTGACCTGGGGTCTCCTGCTGACAGCTGCTGGACCTCTTTGCATTTTCCAGATTATGTTTCATATGAGGGACTTGAGCTTCCCTAGTGATTTTCCATCTTCATTAGGTATAGAAACTTTGTTTAAGTGAAATCTTGGTCAGTAGCCCATGCAGAAAACAAATGAAAGTGAAGCCAATTGTCTTAGTCCCTTTAGACTGCTGCACCATAGACTGGATGGCTTCTAAACAGTAGCAATTTATTCCTCAAAGTTCTGGAGGCCAGAAGTCCAAGTTCAAGGCGCTGATGGGTTCAGTGTCTGGTGAGAGCCCACTTGCTAGAAGCGGTCTTTTCTCTGTAACCTCACCTGGCAGAAGGGTCTTCTAGACTCTTAGTCTCCTTTATAAAGGCACTCAGCCCATTCATGAGGACTCCACCCTTGTGACCTAATCGTCCCCCCTCAAGACCTTCCCTCTTAGTACCATCACCTTGGGTGTTAGAATTTTAACATATAAATTTGGGAGAGGACTCAAACATTCAGACTGTAGTATCAGTCTTACTGAGAGGCAGGTTAGTGATCCACTTCTTTCATAGTGTGCTGGCTCACTTGACACCTGCGACAGCCCCAGTTAGGTGAGGAAGTCATGGGGAACTTTGTTTTACAAAGTGACATGCACGGTACGTGGTACCTCATGTTCCCTCCATGTTGCCTCCCTCCTCATGTTACCTCACGTTCTACACTCCCAAGGATGTAGAGCCCTAACTGAGATAGAACTACAGGGAAACAAAAGCAGGCCAGGTCAGTAGGGGACAGAAGGGTATAATCCTGCCAAACTCAAAACAGTGTGTATCAAAGCTAGTTTGTTTGTTTGTATGTTTGTTTGCTTTAAAAAGTACAGTCATGAGTCAGCCAGATTGGGGGGAAAAAAAGAATAGCTGACCATATTTTATTGATGATTTCATTCATTCCCTAAATTAACATTTTCTGAGCTTACTCTGTGTTGGTAAAAGAAAAATGTGGAAGAGTCTGTCCCTGGCAGGATCTGTCCCCAACGTGCTCTGTTTGAGGAGACACAGGTAGACTTGCCATTATCCTTAAGCATCATGAGGGTCGGGTGTGAGGGTTGGGTAGCAGTGCTATGGGAGCATCCAGAAGGATGTGTAACCAGTTCAGGAATGGTCAGCAAAGGCCTTCCAGAGGAGACCTCTTATCCAAGTCTAGTAGCCTTCCGGTAAAGGGAGGAAGGGAATTGGGAAAGTGGAAAGGTAAAGTTGGCAAGTAGAAGAAGAAATTAAGAAAGTACACGAAGGTGCAGGGGCAGGAGAAAATCTGATGGATCCTGGGGACTGAGAGGAGAGACCACCAGTGAATATGAGAACTGTGAGCAGGAAGTGGGTCATGAGGAGCCACTAATGCCCCAGCAGGGAGGTTAGCCTTAAGCCTGAAGACCATGCTGACCCAGTGCAGAAATTTAGACAAAAGGATAACCTGATCGAAGTTTTACACAGAGCAGGTTTATTCAAACCAGAAGAGTACAACTTGAGATGAATCGGTTGACTGTTGAATGTAGGTCAAGTCAGTGGTACAAACAGGTGGTCTCAGTTAACCGGGCTTTCTACTTGGTAAAAGAGTATTAGTCTTCGCCTTATCTACCTCACAGGGCCATGGTGCGGATCAAAGAACGTACTGTGTGTGAGAAAACATGGTAAGCTGGGAAGAGTTCTAGAGATCTTTAATAGATTGTAGTGGCAGCAACCTCAGCAGTAGCATTTTGGGGAAGAAACTGCCAGACTGACACCAAATGAGACTTCACAGAAGACTTTGAACAATTCATAAATCCCAGATCGTTGCATTATTCCTTCAAACCGTGAGGAAAGTGACCGATGTTCAGGTATAGGAGATTATGGGATATGCGTAGGTGTCAAAAGAATACACAGAGACTACTTTTCTTCTGCTTTAGTAAAAATGGTTTAATGGATCTGGGCCAGTTCCACACATTTCTACACACTTAAGTTATCTGGAGACGCGTGTTATCTTTCTTGTGTAGCAGGAGAAAACGCTCAGAGAGATTAAACGATTTGCTAGAGATTACCAGCAGTAGGTGACAAGGCTGTGTCAGTTCGCATTCAAAAGTCCGGCACCGCTGGTGTTGAATACTGTCTACAGTATTTTAATATAGAGACCCAGAATCTTTTCTCACACTTATTCCCAAGTTGTAAATGGTTCATGGAGGAAACATCCATAGGGCAAGAAGATCTGAGGAGAGTCCACAGGGGGCGGAGGGTCTGATTTAAAGGGTGAGGGTTACGATACATGACGAGGAAGAATTCAGCCATCTTCTGTTCTCTTTCACTTTCCAGATGATGGACCGCTGGGAGAATCAAGGCAGTCCTCAAACGAGTTTATCTGCTCCGGCCATACCGCAGAATCTGCCCTTCCCACCCGCCCTTCACAGGACTTCCTTCCCTGACTCAACAGAGGCCTTTGACCCAAGGAAGCCTGACCCATACGAGCTCTACGAGAAATCTAGAGCGATTTATGAAAGTAGGCGTAAGTGAAAGCCACATAAAACAAGGGTACATGAATAATAGCTGAAGCCCTGCCAAGAGATATATTGAAGCTGAGATGATCTGGCATGATTTTATATTCTGAGGTTGAAAAAGTATCTCAAAAGTAGAGCCAGCTGATCTAAACTTTTCTTTAAAAAAAAAAAAAGAAACTTATATCTTTTGGTTTTATATTTTATTTCCTACTGTTTTCCCTCTGAGCCCCTGAGGAAAATCAGGGATGTGTTTGGTGGGGAGGATGAGGGAGGGGTGCTGGAAGAGGTGGTCAGTTTTGCTTAAGTCACCAAATAATAAGAAAACTGTTTGGGATTTTTATGTGCAATCTGATTTTGAGTCTGCAGCTTAGACTTTTTTTTTCTTGAATGCAATCATTGAAGAATTTAGGGCCATGAGTAAACGTTAAAAGTTAAGTCCTTCCAACTCAAAACCATGAAAGTAATGGTTCTAAAACCAGGAGAGAGCCAGGGGCCAATCACTTCTATCCAAAATTTCTGCTTCTCCTTTAACAGCGGGGCCTCTTGAAAGCAGTGGGGCCCGTTTGGTCATAAAACAAAATATCATGTATAGGCTTGTCATCCTATTTGAAGGTCCTCTAAAATTATTTCATTGCACTTTATAAATATTAGAAAACAAAGGTTTTGAATATTGCATATACATTCCTCATGCCTCTTTCCACCACCTGACAGGTCATCTCTTCCAAATGTTAGAGGCCAGGAATCTGAATGGCATGAATGTATAATCTATGAGACAAATGCACAGTATATGAATTTAGGTAAATGGATCAAGAAACCCAGCCTCGTGAGAAGTATTTGGTCCCCTCACGCTCCCTTTTACAGGCTGCTGATTTGCTTGGTCTCTGTGTTCTGCCAGTGTCTCCTCTCCAGCTTTATCATCTGAAACACGAATAGCAAGTTTTAAATTGTGTGTGACTGTAGAGGATCTGAAATCTGTTTATTCTTTGTGAGCTCGGGGGCTGAGAATTATGCACCCAACCGGTAAGGGGAAGACGAGACATAATACCGTTTCCCCATCCTCTACAACCCTCTGTAAAAGCTCTCTTCATTGATAAAATAGGACAGCAGGGCAAGCATTGAGAAATCATTTTTATCAAAATGAACCCCCAACACACAGACCTCTTTATTTTAAACAATCAGCTTTATTTTAAACAAGGCTACTGTATTTCATCATCCCCCTTCTGATTGAACTGAAACGTCTTTAAAGGATTGTGTAGTTAGAATGTCTTTGCTACAACAGACTAAAAACAAAGTAGTATGTTTAGCTGTACCGTATAGGGTGTGAATTCTGGGTGTTAATGCTCAGTAAACAAAAGAACTGAAAATATTTGAACATAGTTCATAATACCATTTCTGCTTCAGTATCCAATATCTCTTGGATACCCACTGAACTCTCAGTACCGTGGAGAGATACCAAAGATGAGTAGTATGTCTTGCTCTTACAAATCTAACTGGGCAGATGAGAATAAGTGTAAACAGATTATATAGCTCAAAAGACAGTACAGGTTCTAACCTGGAGGAGGGAAATGCACTGTGGGATGAAAATATCGTCACGTCCTTGGCTTGTCTTAACTTTTGGTTACTTCTAGGGAGCTTCAAGGGTTTCTCCCTCCTGTTTCTGTCCCTTCGATAATCATCGGCTCCCATTCTTTTGTAGTTTCCTGACCAATGCGAGGCTTTATTGTTCAGGACAAAGGCAGTGTTGGCATTTATTCTGTCCTCCCTTCATGGTGTCTGATACTGTGGTGCCCTCAGTTTCTGGGCAGGAATTGCACATGACCTTCTTTTCAACCCTAAAAGAATTCCGATTTCTTTACCCAGCCCCTGCAATGCTGTTTCTGTTCATTGCCTTTCTGCTGCTCATCTGTAACAATCCAAGCAAACCATCCACCTTAACCTCCCATACCTTTCTGTTTCAGTCCTCCCCTGGAAGCTCTTTATCCCTCTGCTTCCACAGCCACGCCAACACCCAATAGCCTGACTCTCACCCTGGCCCCCTCCGCCCCATCTGTGCCCCACGGATGCCACTGCTGCCTCTGCTCTAATGGTGTCCCCCCCCCTTCATGTTTTTGTCAGCTCTCTAATGTTTCTGAGGTCACAGCAATGTTTTCAGGGTCACAAGTCTTGGGAAGCCAAAAGAGGGCAAGCTCATTTTCTTTCCCATCCTTCGCTTTTCTATCATGTTATTTCATAACACTAAATGGAGTGTGAAAGAAAACAGAGAAATCATGTCAGGGAAGCAAAGCTCTACCCTGAAGATTAAGGAAACCAAACAAACACAGCCCTACTTTCTCAGGTCTCTGGATAGCTGATCAGTTCATTCTGCTTGTGGACTTGCACGTGTCTAGAAAAAACAAAGCAGCCCTTTGCCCTCTCTACGTTCCCTCTTTCCAATTATTAAAAAGTTTCATTCTCTCCCTTACATGTTTGGAATGCCAGAAAAAAATTTTTAATGAATTGGGGGAAAGCTCAGTGTATTTCCCATCATCTTCTAATAGGTTTTTATTTTTTATGATCGTGAAATATGTGCATCCGTACAAAAGAACCATATTCAGAATTTTGACGTGAACCATGCCTTATTCCTTTGAATCTCATGTATAAAATTTAGGTTTCACTTTGTTTATCCTTATGTCCCTGAAAACTTTTCCTGGAAGAAAAATCCATGGGGGACCAGGGAAAGTATAGAAGGGAATCCCAAGCAGAGCTTGTCTAAACCAAGGTCTCTGACATTCTCCCTGCCCTATGGCAATTTCATGGTATCTTCCCTTACAACCGGGTCTAAAACCAAAAAGATATTTTGCGTTCACATTTGAAACTGGGTTGCAGTAACCAAAACAGAAAGGCTGTACCTCCACCCACAAGCGTCTGCTGTACAGAGCTACAGAATGTTCACTATACCATGGCCATCAAGAAGTATTTGGATTCAAGTCACCAGTCCCCTGCAAATGATGGAAATTTATCGAGTGATGTAAATGCTGCTGTGCCTCATTTGGCTCATAATTAGATTATGCTGACACTTTAATGTGCATGCACGGGACATCTTAATAAAGATGTATTCCTGGAAAAAAAAAAAAAGTAGTGATTTTAAACAAACAAAGACAGCCGTAGGATGCTAGAGCCACATGAAACAGCACATGATGGGTGTGTGCCTGAGAGAGAAAAACTGGAAATGCCTCCCGTCTTCCTGAGATCTCAGGATGAGATGGAACCGAAGAAAGAGGGAACGAAGATTCCTCCAACAGGCAGGGCGATGTTTCCAATGTCGGAACGGCAGGCAGAGTGCCTACAGGAGGCACCTCCAGGGTCCACATCAATCAACAAGAGTGTACAAAACAAGCAACACGTGTCTAGGACCGTGCTGGGTGCTCCATGAGGAAAAAAAAAAAATCATGAGAAATAAATCCCACTTGTACAAAACTTCCACCAAAATCAAGGACACAAAAACCGAGGAAGCCCATTCCTGAATGAGACTGCATGACACAACCCAGCAGAGCCTATCAGCATTTCAACCTGCGAAATTGGGCCATAATTATAGACAACAGTCTCAGTGTAATTGGACAGTTAGACCAATAGTTTCTCATTCCATCGGCAAAACTGGTGTTTAATCAGGAGAGTGTCATGTGTTCAATATCTTCTAATTATAAAAAATTTCATTAGTCCTTACTGGAAAATGCTGTGCAGAAAGAAATTTGTTTTTCTTTTTTATTTTTTTATTAGCATATAATATATTATTTGCCCCAGGGGTACAGGTCTGTGAATCATCAGGCTTACACATTTCATAGCACTCACCACAGCACATACCCTTCCCAGTGTCCATAATCCAGCCACCCTATCCCTCCCCCACTCCCCTTTTTTTTCTAACTTACTTCCACATGAGCTGAAGCTTATATATATGAAAGAAACATGCCCCCCAAAAATCCCTAAAGAGGTTTTGACCAATAGCCTTTTTGGGGTTTTCAAGTTCGTTATATAAGCGTTGACCCTATGGTAATACCAGCAGTTCCAAGAAAAAGGCAAAAATCTCCCCATCCCCATTTCTGTTTAAGACTGTGATAAAGATCACTTTTCTCCTTGTGTAATAATAGCCTCTGCTGATAATTGACTCTTGCTGTCCGCATTACTTGCATTTTTTTTTTAAGTTGAAAGCAAGGAAAATACATACCTTTGCACAGATAAGCCATGGTATTTTTTTACTTCTCCCTTCTCTGTCCTTTTCTCAGGACTCCCATGAAAGGAGGACTAATTTTCTTTGCAATCACAAGAGGAAGGGCTTACATTTTCTCATTTTGTATGCTAATCTTGAAAAAGAAACTACTGTTTACCATTTCTAACCTTGAAAAAGAAACTACATCTTGGGGCACCTGGGTGGCTCAGTGGGTTAAAACCTCTGCCTTCGGCTCAGGTCATGATCCCAGGGTCCTGGGATTGAGCCCTGCATTGGACTCTCTGCTCTGTGGAGAGCCTGCTTCCTCCTCTCTGCCTACTTGTGATCTCTGTCTGTCAAATAAATAAATAAAAATCTTTATTAAAAAAAAAAAAACAACTATATCTAAAGGCCCTCACTGCTTCTCCCCCTCCCATCTTCTCCTGCCATTTTTCCTGACACGTGATGGTGTCACATATTTCTGATCTGAGAAGAAATAGTTTCATAACAACCTACATCCCCACGAGATGACATAGGGGGACTACACATACCAGTCTGCCTGGGACAGTCCTTCTCTTTGTCATCCTGGCATTAATTATTAATAGGTTCCCTTTTACTCTCTAATTTGTCCTCAGTTGAATGATGAATTATATGGTTTACCTTTATTATCTAATCTATTAAAGAAATAACATCATTCCTGTCCCAGAAAAGCATATATCTAAGTGTACAGAACATGAATAAAAATTTTCACACCTACTCTGATAAAAAATTTCCTTCAAGTTAATTTATTTGGTTGACTGACTTTTTGCCCATACATGCCTTATTCCTAATTTGAGGTATAGACATATGTGGTGGCTTGTCTCTGTAGCTAGATTCCCAGCAAACTCCCTCCATACTCAGAAAATTGTGTATATGCAGAAATCTAGAGCTTGGCAAACTAAGTACCAAAAATAGGCAGCAAGGCTTCACTCGTCTAAGGATTATGCCATGGAGTTCTCGTTCTTCTCACAGATAGTAAATCCGATTCAACATTGCAATAATCACAGGCCCCAGAGGTGATTTTGTCAGACTTCCTGACCCTAGGAAGGATTCTACTTACATAACTTCAGAACAATGGCTGTCGTGACTCCTCCTCTGATGCCAAGCAAGGCAATAAAAGTACTTCCCAAAGACAATGGAATCACTTTGGAATCCTCCAAAATAAAGTTCTGGTCATGCTAAAGAACTTGGTGATCTAGCAATGAGGGCTCTGTCCTGTTGCTTCACTTTGCTTTAAACCAGACTTACCGTAAAAATTTGTCTCCTCACCCTCGGTTCATGGGGCCCTTTCTCGAGCATACTCCCCACTGCAGCGTCAGAAGCCTGAGCAACAAGCAGATGAGAACAGGAAGAGACAAGAGAAGAAAAATCCGTATTCTCTGAAACCCTTCCCTCGTGACTCCGTCCCTTGGTGTGAACCCAAGTTGAATTATGACTGAAGTTGTCCACGCTTTTTTCTCTTCACGTTGAACCCTGCTGATTATAAATAAACAATTTATGAGGTACAACATGTCTGTGCTCCCTTGCAGTAAGACATCACTCAAATGTAGGATCGTAAAAGTGTCAGGGATCCGTATGGTGTGATGTGCGTTATGGTAGAACCTCTTTAGAACACAGATTCCTCTGGAATTTCTTCAGAAAGCTCACAGGATCATTTTTTTCTTTCCAGAAATGAGGAAGAGGTAACCCGTATCAAGCACTGAGTATCGCCACAAAGGTAGCAATCAGTGGTAACCACCGGCCAGCTAGAGCATAATGGAGGAGCAAAGTGGTCTTTAATACTATACTTGAAAGGAAATTATACCTCGTAACCAATCAAAAGCAGACAGCTGTATTTCTCACATCTATGGCTTTTATCTGAAGATTTTGTTGCTCATTGCTCATTGGGAAATTCTTTCATTGTTCAGTATGATAATGCATGTTTAACTGATGGCTAATCACCGATGTGTGGTTGTAGTTCTAAAGTAACAGTTTTTCTGCGGCTTTTTCCGTGTCATTGGTGAGCAAGGGTTGTTGTTGGCGTTGTCTCTCCTCCTTACACGAGAGCCTCTTGGAAAGATGGGGGTAGTGTAAAAATATGATCTGCCTGGCGCAGGACTTGAGACTCTAAATGGAAACTGACGGTAGGATCCGCATCACACAGGGTGGATACACAACTTCCAGAGCTCGGAAGCCTTTTGCAAGTGTTTCAACTTCAATCTTTCAGGCTCCTGTCTCCCTTGCCAATGTGATCAAACATCTGATACAGTCCAGCTGGAAATGTCAATAGGTTTCAGAAAGGTTCTGAGGCATCATGGGTGCCATAGCCATAGGCAGCCCATCAGCGATGGTGAAAGGCCACTTTGCCTTCCCAGAGAACTTCTGCACATCTGAGTGCCGCTCGACCGAGCCCTGGCCTCAGTGGCTTTAATGTTGTTAACAAACGTTCTCTGGTGCACTTTCTTATTTTAGTGAAATATTAAAAGGAGATGATAATTAATGTTAAGACACTTTTGTCAATGACGTCAGCATTAGAATCATGAAAGATTAGGGAAAACTTTAATAATATTATCATTTAAAATGTCCTCCATGATACTATGAAGGTTAATTTCCAGTGCTTTTTTTCCCATGGGAAAACCATTATTGCTGGCCTTCGTGTAATCTATGATATGCTTTAATCTGCGGGGAAATAAATGCATTTCAGCTGGAGTTCTAGTATAGCACATTATGTGCGTCACTTTGCAGTTAAAATATATTGATCAAGGGGATTGGTCATTTCAGTGAAGCTGTGTTTGCCGTTTTTAATATGTGCGTTTTAATTGGGAAATCTAATCTCAAAAATAGTACTTTTGGGGAGCTTTGTAAACAATTATGCTAATATTTATATTTCTAACAGGTCTCTTTTAATAAAGAAAGTTACCATGACATGAGCTAAGAAATAAAACTAGTGAAATAAATAGGTTGGGGACACATTTTTCCCATGTATTTTAGAAATGAGATCCAATCTTATACCTTATACCTTCATTTCATTCAGTAGTTTACAACTTCATGCTCCTGGAATCAGACAGAGGATGGTGGCGGGGGAGGGGGCTTGGGGGGAACAGGGGAGGATGTGGGAAGTAAACTCTAAAATCAGTCCTTGACTATAAGTTCTTTAGAACGTCAAAGCATTTTGTTGGTAGCACAAGTCAACAATGCAACCCAAAGTACATTCATGAATAAATATGAGACCATGAGGACTGCAGTAAACCAAATGTAATTGCTGGATGGCAAGCAGATCCTAGTGAGATTATGATAATATAAAATGTCAGTTTTTACAGCTAATGGAAGTCGTTAGAAGGTAGGAGCCTTCTACCTAATACATCTCTCTCTTTCTGATAAAAGGATATTTTTCCATTTATAATCCTACGCAGTCACACTATACATGGGGGATTTTTAAGAAATAACAATTCTGGAAAACTAATTTCCCTTTACTGCAAAAACACAGATTACCTGCAGGGATGATCATTCGGCCCTCAACGAGAGAGGGTGCAGGGTGCTATGCAGGGTATGGTCAGAAACACCTGTCAAACCCAGAAGGCCGGAGACACTCTGCCTCATCATCACCCTCAAAAAGCTTTTATTTCATTTTTGTTTTTGAAGAGTGGAGAACTCTTTATATGAAACAAAGTTCAATAAGAAAGCAATCAGAATTTGGTCTTATTTTAATTTTTATTAATGTAATAAAATACACACTTTTATAGTGCCTCATATATCTATCACAGTCTGTACACAGGATTTTATGTTCATGTCCACCAATTTTTATGTTATATGTAGCAGAAATCACATCAAAATCCTCATGAAGGATCTGTATTGCTAACAGTAAACCAGTATAACTCAAATACTTCTAAATCACTTCAACTCTCCAAGTAATTGGAAGTAGCAAAGTGTGTGGACTGATGGACACAAGTCAACACACTCATTGATTGAATTTTCCACTTTTCATCTCAGTACTCGATGACACGATCTCTTAACCTGATTTTAAAGACCTCTATTTATTTTAAGCTTAGCTCAGCTTCTGGATTGACTTTACTTCTCAATAAGAAATTTTTATAATGAGAACCAAAGCTTAATTTTTGAAAAGGAGGATCTTTTTTTTTCTCATTCTGATCTAAAAGGATTCGAATCTTTCTATTTTGCGTGCATATAAAAGAAATACATTTACAGACCTGTAAATATACATAAAACAGGGTGTTTCCTGTCCACTGACGTCCATGGAATTTTAGAGAAACAAAATCATTAAATTGGAGCACCAAAGGTTGGGGGTGAGTTATAAGAACAACAACAAAAAAAGTTAAAGATGAATTTTTAAATGCCGTAAATGAATTTCAATTTTAATTCCCCATTTTCCCATCCAGAACAAGTGCCACCAAGGACCAGTTTTCGAATGGATTCCTCTGGCAAGTATTCTTCAGAACCCACAGTCCTGTGAATGAAACGTCTTCCATTCTGTGTAACAAATCATTCTTCAGAGTAGTATCAGCTTATTAGCATATAATCACTGTGCTAATTTGATTCACCCACATACATATGTATTTCAGATAGAAAGCAAGTCTCATCAGGTTGGGTCTACTTGGCTACCAAGAAAACCACCAAAAGAGAAGGGGAAAAGTCATTCTCATTAATTACTTTCATAAACTTTTTTTAGTAAAAGACTAGGCTAAAAAACCAGATGCCAATGAAAGCAACCACACTAACTAGGTCCATGATGCCTGATATAGTAGCTTCTGGCCACATGTAAGCTAGTTAGCAGTGGAAATGATGGCTACTCTGAACTTTGATTGGCTTAAGATATACGTAAAGTCCCTACTGATTTCCCAGACTTCATACAAAAAAGAAATAGAAACGTATAATAGCTCACTAGTTTTTTTTTTTTATATTGATGAATGCTTAAATAACATTTTGAATATACCAGCTTAAAATCCATTATTCAAGTTGATTGGACCTATTTCTTTTTGCTTTTTAAAATGGGCTGCTGGAAAATTTTAAATTACTTATGTAGCTTACATTTTATTTATACTGGACCCTGCTGGACTAGATAAATAGAAATAAGCTAGAGTATGTCAAGAGATTTGCAATTTAGATGTTTCCAAAGAACTTACTAGAAATTTTGCTGATGTGGGATGAAATGACTTTTACATTAACTAAATACCTGTCAGATTAATTGTTTTAAACCACGCCTCTTACAAAATGCAACATTTCAGTGGTATTTTAAATTAGAATAGAGTATCATAGTTCAAAAACTTTCAGTAGGAATCAGTTAATTTACTTAAAATGAAAAACATTTTTTTTTTACCTAACAGTTCTGAAAATACCAATTTTGGTTTAGGCTAAAATATTTAATGTTATTACGAAAATGAAGGAGGAAAAGGAAGATTCAGATTTTTTTTTTTACTTTTAGAAAGTGCTTTGAACAGCTGCTTAGAACACTGGACTGAAAGCCAGAACACTGAAACAATTGCAGAAAAGCATGTTTCATAATAATAGTACTATTTCAGGTCTGTGGGCTCACAGCACACATCTCTAGAGTGTTTCCATGATGACAGCTCATTATCCATCTCAGCATGTTCTAACACCCCTTGGAGAATATATGTGCTTGAGATCATTTCATTCTGTAAGTTTCCATGTCATTTTTTTGGATATGTAGAAAATATGGAAGATATTGCTTAGCATTTTGTCCTCTAGTAATGTATAAAGTATTTGTTTAGCTTGGTCTGAAAATTTTTAAGCTATGACTATTCTTATACATTGAGTGTAAAATCCTTATAATTTTAAAAGAATATCTTATGCCCAGAAGGAAAATGAGACCTAGTAACTACAGTTGCAAAATGAAAGTAGGATTTAATTTGAGATTCTAAATCTCTATTTATTGGCTACAGCAAGCCCATTTCTTGAAAATCTCAGCTTCTGAATATACTTTATTTAAAAACAAAAGAAGCAAGAGAAAACTCGCCTAAAAGCATAGATTACCTTGATATATCTGCACAATACTCTTGCATTTCAAAAAATATACATTAGTTAAAAGAGAAAAGTTATGATAATGGATTGCATATATTATACCACTATGTAGTCCAGATTTTCGGGAAAAGAACCAGTCCAAATGTTTGATTAAATGTCCACACAGGTATCAAAATATTCTGGAAAATCATCACTACATCCAAAATAAGTAGATCTCCCATACTTCTCCTCACATTTATAAAATGTCCTTTATCAAATTATGTGTCATGATTTTTTACTCAGATAGATTTATCATAATTATAAGGTATCTGTTAACTTTAGCTGCCTATGATGCTTAGGTACAGAGGCAAAATTGTTAGTAGGAAGTCCTAAACCATGTAATTATAAAGAGAAGTGATAAGTCCACCATAGAATAATGCTGTGGTTTATCAGGTATACTAGGTTGGGGAATATCTTAAAGCAATTAAAGTCAAGAAACATTTATTTAGCAACTTTTACAGGCTGTGCATAATGGAATACTGTAGAATAAAGATAATTACGCCATCATCAAGGAAGAATGCTAGTGAGAAACAATGCATCTGTAGCCAGGACTTTTGAATGGACACCTTCACCCAAAGCCAAAAGATCCAGGATATAGTGCATCACAGAAACCAAGAGCAGAAATCACTTTGAGGAGAACTTCCCTTGTTTAGAAACAGAAGATATCAGGGGTCATAAAGGGTATGTCAACAATGTCAAATGAGGCACAGAAATCAATCAGAATGCGGAAAGGGAAAATGACCATTTGATGTGGTCATTAGGATGTAATCAGTGACCTTAAAGGGGGTCACTTTCAGAAATGCTGACACAGCAGGAGCCAGACTGGCAGGAGTTAAGTCACAGATGAGAGACTGAGGATGGGGAAACGAAGGCCCTACTCATCCGAGACATAAATGGGGAGTACGAGGGGATATTCGGTATGGGGAAATCTGAGTTTATTTGAAGGCTGAGGGAGAAAACCACAGAGAGTGAGATTTGGCTTCTATATAGCTAAAATGTGTCTGGCCACATTCATATTAACAAAGGTATAAAAGGAAAAAGTAAAGAGAAGGTGTTCTTTTAAAGCAAAAATATATTAGTTACCTGTCTGGTAATACTAGATTCAAGGAATAGAAACCATTTAATTCCTACTTAACTCATTCTGTATCTGGAGTGCACTGAAAGTTCAGAAACCAGGGGCATATTTAATAACCACCTTTGATTCCTGATTCTTTCCTCAATCTCTTTCCTAGATCTCTTTATGAGGAAAAGCCAAATAACTAATGCTCTTTCCAGCAGGAAAAATTGAATGAATTCATTCTCTGTGCCAAACTGATAATAAGCCCATGGTACTTACATTTTAATTAAAACATGAAAAGGGATTCAAGTACCAAAATTTAATTGACATGTTTGCAGCATCCCTTATGCCAAATTAATCCATAAATGCTGTTCTTTGCATTTCTGAAGCTTGAATCCATTCATAAAATTAATCAGTTGTGTTCAGTTACTCACCCTTTTCCCTAAAACTGTGCACAAAGTCATGTGTTTCCAAATCTAGACCAAGGATACATACAGCATGTGAAGCTTCTGGTGTCTTAGTACAAAACAAGAAGCACCTTTTGAAATTATGCTTTTCTTTCTTATGAGGGAGGTTGTCCTTATACCTGGATGTGGCCACCATTTGCTCCTTTTAGCACTACTGGTTTTTTTCAATATTAGTGGGAGCCCAGCATAAATGAGAACTTACAAATTCCATCCTGGTAATTTGCCACAGTGCTCATGGAAAGTCTCATCTGGGACAGATGTCTTAAGATGATTTAATTCATAATGCCTGAGGATCCTGGGGCCCAACTTCTAAGGCAGAAGCAGCAGTGGTCAGGAATGGCCATTGAAACACAAATCCAGAGTGTTCTGCCTCTCCTTAGTCCACGCAATGCCTGAGAACATCCCTGACAGTTCTCTGAAAAACGTTGAGGGAAAAGAAGGTAAACAAAGAGCGTGGAAAGAGAATAAACAAGAAAGCAGAAAACGACAACAACAACAAAAAAGGATGTCGGTGGGGGCCCGGTTGAGTGATGTCCAAAGTGATTCAGGTTCCACTAGTGTTCACCAGACTCCTTCATCAAACAACCTTCCAGGTGCATGGTTAGCGAGCCAACAAGAGAGAGAGGTGGTGACTGTTAAATTCTGTCACAGTGCGGTGAAGAGCTGGCCCTTAGATTTCTTTGTTCTATGTTTGTGCATTAATGGAGGAAGAGACAAAGTATGATCTGGTAATTTTCCATGTATCATCAGTCAGGGTTCCTGGGTGGCTCGGTGGGTTAAGTGTCTGACTTCGGTTCGGGTCATGATCTCAGGGTCTTGGGATTGAGCCACGGGTCAGACTCCCTGCTCAGTGGGGAATCTGCCCTCTCCCAACCCCCAGCTTGTGTTCTCTCTCGCTCTCTCTTCCTCTCAAATAAATAAAATCTTTAAGAAAAAAAAAAAATAAAAACAAATGTGTCATCAAGCCAGAGGAGCAGCTGAAGGAAAGTATCAGAAACATCATAATCTTATGAGAGCTAACAAAGCGGAGAGTAATATGTCTCAGCTTTGTTCATATAATTTTGGTCATTTTTTAAAAAGATTTTATTTATTCGACAGAGAGAGAAAGAGAGAGCACAGGCAGGAGGAGCAGCAGCAGAGGGAGAAGCAGGGAGCCTGATGCAGGACTTGATCCCAGGACTCTGGGATCATGACCTAAGCGGAATACAGACGCTTAACCAACTGAGCCACCCAGGCATCCCAATTTTAGTTATTTTTTAAAACAAGACTCAAAAGTTTGGGGAAGGTAGGGGAAGAAACCAAAGAAAAATCATTCTTCTGAAAGTTCTTATTTTCCCTTGAAAGAAAAATACTACTGCCTTAAGGCACAATCTATCATTTAAAATTTTTTTTCCAGTTGACTATGTCTCTAAAGTTTCCATGCCCTAAAGCCTCTGAGTCTATGTTCAAAATTAACAAGGAAATTTTTAAAAGTCATGTGTGCTGCTGGCATCCTTCTCTAATAGCTCTCTCTTTGCCTCTCTCAACTTGTTCATGTACCACGTAGCTAGCCATCTCTGCCTAAAAGAATGGAGGGTGAATATGGCATGGTTGGCACACATCACCCTACATTTGAAATCAGAGTGGCCAGACCATTGCCAGGAGATCATAATGTCACTGAGCTGCACAAAATGAACAGGGGGAAGAGGACAAATGCCCCACTCACATCTTTTCTTCAAAGTTAAATAAAATTAACCAACCAAGATCTGTATTCTTTCTATTAAAAATGAGAGTCCTGAGTCATTCATTAAGGAAATGCTTTCCAATTTCTCTGGGAATTGCAGCATTCTCTGACACAAGACAAACCCCCTTTTACTTTGGCACATTTCAAAATTCTGTTACTGAGATTCTCATAATTTCAGCATTCTCTTAGGGCAAAGTTTTATTTAGCAAATAAAATGGATTGCAAAGTAAACTTTTAGAGTTCCCCCATGTAATATGGATTGATGCTGAAGCCATTGGAAGAACAGTTTCCCACTTGCCTTACTCACCAGTGATGCAAAAATGAGAATATTTATAGGAGTAGATGGAAAGTTCTGGTTATACATATGCTTATGCTATCATTTAAGTGTCAGAAATATATTCTCTCTTTGTATTTTTTATGGTCTCTATGTATTTTATATATGGCCTAGAGTCCTCTAAGCTTAAAGTAACCTTAAGAAGAGATTGCTGTGAGCAGTAGAATCATAAACAACTTCTATAGATTTGTAAGTGCTTGGGCATTATCTGTCATCTTCCCATCTCCCCTTCCTTTCCGCCTCCCCCAGGAGGAGTACCTGTGATTGCTATGATTTTATAGGGCTGTTGTATCTTCCTGGAGTTCCAGAGCCCCAAAGGAGCACACACTCCCAATGTGTGATTTCGTACATGATGTTTTAGACCCCAGGAATGAACTGAGTTCAAAAGCCAATTGTGACTCATAGAGTACAGGGCAAAGTTTCCATCTTTTACCATCCAACTGAATTCTTCCAAGTTCTCATCTTTCAAATATGAACGGTAATACAATTTATAAAGAATGACTAATGAATGTGGAAATCCAGTTGGTTAGTCTTCTCTGAGTTCTCTACTAGTCATGGAATGGAAAGGTCTTTGGTTATATGTGCATGTGCTCATGAAAGGCCATGAATGGTTATGGATTCTTACACATTATATACATATATGCAAGTGTACTTTTGTGCTTGACTAGTTTTATTTTGTCTTTTGAGAACAGTAACACATAATCAGCTTATGCCTATATTTCAGAAATGAATGCGTTATCTTCTGTATGTCACTGGGAATGCACAGTCCATACTGGAGGGCTCCATGGTAAACCCAGTGTCATTGTGCCTTCTTTATTGGATCACTTCAGCAGCCCCACTTACTGTAGAGCCTGGGAAGGATTTGCCTGCCCAGCATTCACTGAGTCTCTCCAACTAGGACTACTACTATGTATCCAAATGGCTCAGACACATCTTCCTGTCCCATTGAGGATCATTCTCTGAAATCCCATCTCAATTTCCAAAACCATCCTGTGTAAGCAATTTAATATTGCTTCTATAAATTCTAATGCCTCCTCTAAACCATGAAGGCTTAGGATCACTAAATACTTCTTAAGCAAAGGATGGCATTCATCAATATTTCGCAAAGTTGCTAACATTCAGTGGCATCCCAACAATGACCACGAAAGTATGCACAAGTCAGAATGGAGACTTTACCCCTGTGAGAAGGATTCAAAGTTCCAAGGGTGATGGGTAAGCAAAAATCACATTCACTTCAAAAGTCAAAAGAGGTCTTGGACTTTTCATGTATTTATTCTAGGATTGAAAAAACTGGCATCCGGGAGTCTCCCAGCTTATTTTTTAACTACATTTCTGTTCTTTCAGCTAACTGCAAGAAAGCATCCTTCTTCCAGTTTATTTTAAATACACTAGTAAGCTCAGTAGTGACTTCCACATTGTAAAAGGTTTAGGGAGGTAAGCATTCACTTATGCCAGGCAAATTTCTACCCCTAAGTTATGAAAAACCTAAAGGAGTTTGTCTGAAAACTTCACTCAAACTCCCAATACATTCTATTTTTTTCTAATTTTTACAATTCTAAAAAAGACAAATTCATTAGGCATAAATTTGTATCTCCCTCCTGCCCCCCCCAACATACACGAAATGGGATGCATCAAGACATAAAGAGATATTTATAAATTCCTAGGCAGTTCTCTACCAGGTAGTTCCAGGATGTCATCTTTTCTTTCATACTTCTGAAACAATCGTTCTAGTCAGAGTAAACATCCTCAAAGTGACAGCCAATCTTCTTGAGAGCAATCTGAATGCTTTCAGGAAAATAAGGTATTACAGAGGCATTGTGGGGTTGTTTTTTTTTTTTAAGTCAGGAAATTTGTATGTTATTTCTGCCTATGGTGATACCCTAGTTATGCCCTTATTTGATCACTGTTAATCCAGAGACTACCTAATTTTGGAACTTTTTTGTTATTATTTTTTTTTTTATCCTCTCTGCTCTCCACCAACTCTAACAGCACTCTCATTAATCACATCCACAAAATTAATTTATCATTGGTGTGTTTGGTTTCTCAAGGAGCAGGGAAAAGACAGGATTCATTACTCAATAGGCTCTCCTTTATGCCAGGTCCAGATTATAAAGAGCTGGATGTCCACCTTCGCAGGATGGAGTCTGGATTTGGCTTCAGAATCCTCGGCGGAGATGAGCCTGGGCAGCCTGTAAGTCGAAACCTCTTTTTTTCCACATTGTGGGCTAGAGACCGTGCATCGTCAGGGGAGGTCTCATTCACTCTCAACCCAAAAGAATGTCTCTGAGGGCTCAAAAAAAAAGTTTGAGATTTGTCTTCTTTTCTTGCTGTTTCAGTTCTCAAAACATGTCGGTGTTTCCATGCCAACATACCGTCATAAATTAATGTCCATACATTAAGAGTGGACATTACTCAGAATGGATTGAATTCCTCTTGAATAGTTCAACTGCCTAATTGTATTGGACCCCTAGTCACTCTGGACAGTGACTCAAAGTAAAAACATGGTATGACAGAAGATACAAGCCAGGGGCGCCTGGGTGGCTCAGTCATTAAGTGTCTGCCTTCAGCTCAGGTCATGATCCTGGGGTTCTGGGACTGAGCCCCACATCAGGCTCCCTGCTTGGTGGGAAGCCTGCTTCTCCCTTTCGCACCCTCGCCCCCGCTTGTGTTCCTTCTCTCGCTGTGTCTCTCTCTGTCAAATAAATAAATAAAATCTTAAAAAAAAAAGAAGAAGAAGAAGATACAAGCCAAGGGATGACTTGGACCAGCAGAATTTATGTACATTTGCAGTCAAAAGTATGAGGGAGAGAGAACACAGGGATAAACAGAAGTAAAATCAAGCTTAATGCTGCAAAATCTCAGCCAGATCCAAATGAAGGGATTACCATGAGAAGATGTTCACAAAGCGAACTTCAGTTGGCACAATATTGAGACTTTGGGAAGGGCTCTGGAAAAATTAAACCTGTGTGTGCATGCACACACCCACCGCTCATTATACACCAGAGTCAAAGCATAAAATAATATACAGAAAATTCAGCAAAGTTAGATTTGTGAGCATGTATCAAAATATCAACCATAAAATACTCACTGTAAAAGATGTGTCTTAAATGGTACCCATGTGACTAAGTCAGGTCCATGGAAAGTTTGAATAAATGACACCCCATTCCAGCTCAGGTACCTTAACCCCATCCCAGCTCATGCAAGGGATTTAAGCTGTAAGCCTCAGTTTCCTCACCTATAAGATGAAGAACACAGTGTTTCTTTCTCAGCAAGAGAGCTTTAAGAATTCAAGATAGCATATGCAAACCTCTTGGTATCATGCCTGGATCCTATCAGGTGTTGAATGCAGGTTTATCCTCATCATCTCATTTTTTGGTCAGCTGTTCCAGAAAATAAAGCTAGAACCAAAAATGAGCAGAAATCTTTAGGAGAAAAAAGTTAATCTAACAAATGAAAGGAATCTGTAAAAATGAAGACTGAGAAAAGTGAAGTTGATTGCCTTGGTAGACAGTGAGCTCCTTCCCGAGAGAAGTATTCAAGCAGAACTGATGAGAACCTGACAGGAACCCCAGAGAGGATCTTTGGCCCTTCAAGTGGAGCTGGACCAGATGATTGATGAGATCCCTTACTAGGAAAAATGTTGAGAAGCTGAATTTAGACTCCCCTGGCTCCCCTCTATCTGCCACCTGATTCTGAGTTTTGTTTGATCAGAGGGATTTAAAATTCCCCCTAAGCAGGGACTTCATCTTCCCCTTCTTATTCTCCATCAGTGCCCCCATAAATGACTAGTATGTCATCTGCCAAACAGGAGGTTAAGGTCACGGTCCTCCAGACTGCCGTAAAGTGAATATCCCTCACTTCAGACACTAGCTGCAAATTTGGGGGTCCCAAGGCCTCCTTCAGATTGGATAATTCACTAGGACAACTACTAAAACTCAGGAAAGTGCAGTACTTACTATTACAATTTTACACTGAAAGCATACAAATTAGGACCAACCAAAAGAAAAAGGAAAAAAATAAAAAAGGCCCATAGGACAAAGTCTGGAAGGCTTCCATCATTCTGAGACAAGTTATCCCTCCCAGCATCGATGCCAACCAGGGATGCTCACCCAAGTGTCGGTATCCAGAGTTTTTATTGGGGTCTTACTGTGTGAGATGAGTGACTGAGGCATTGAGGCGGTTGAGCTCAGTCTCCAGCCCCTCTTCTTCCCAGAGAGTCAGGGTGATGTCACAAGGTTCAAAGGCCCAACCCTCTAATTATATGACTTGTCATTCTTACCTGGTCAGGGAGCCCCACCCCTCAGGACTGGGTGTGGCCGTTCCCCCCTGAGTCATCTCCTTTAGGATAAACTGTCAGGTACCCAGGTACCCACAAGAAGTCTCCTCCTTAGCACAAACACTCAGGTGTGGTACAAGGGGCTCAGAGTGAATAAAGATACTCCTGTTCCAATGGTTTAGAGGTTACATTTCAGGAAAGGCCAGACCTCTCTTTGGGCTCACGCTCAATTCTTTATTGTATACCTATGTGTTTAAAAGACACTACATGAAAGCAATGATGGCACTTTAAGGTGATTTTCATCACCCTGTGGTGGATACTGAGACTCTTGTAGGACATTTAAGGGTAAATTCATTAAAATCCATTATGATGCCATAATGCTTCAAATTTACCAACCTAAGCGGTCTCCACCAGAAGGAGGAGGTTCCTATTTGTTCCAGAATGTACTGACATACTTTTCCCCCCTTACCAAACTGTGATCTCCTTGAAGGCAAGAACTGTGTTATGGCGGTGTTTCTATCTTCTAAGCCCAGCACAGAGCCTGACATATTAGATATTTGCTAACTGGAATTGAAGAGAATCCTCTTCACCAAGCCCAAACTGTCACCTGAACCTCTCAGGGAAAAAAAAAAAAAAAAGTAATAACCTGGAGTTTACCTTTTCTGAGGCTTCTAGATGCTACAGGCTCTGTAGAATTTAAATGGCTTCCTCCTAGAATCAGGAATGTTGTCCTAGGAGCCCTAAAACATGTTTTGTTCAACCCAGTGTTTTAAAATTGTGGAACACCAATTAATTTCACATGTTTAAAATTCAGATTTACATATTCTCTAGAAAAATAAATCTAGCAACATTTGGCTTATCTTTCTCATTGACAGCAACTGACCAGAGCTAAGGGGTGGTCCATTTTGAAATGAGCATGGCCACAGTTCCCAAGAACCCCTCGTACCTGCATTATTCCTTTAGTCTCCTGTCTTGGAGATCCCATCCCAGAGAACTGGACTCAAAGATGAATATTTTGTACCAAAGGACTCTTCAACCAGGGCCAGATCCTGGATTTTTACAACCCCTAAGCATAATATCAGGGTCCTTCCCTTATATGATAAGGACAAATAAGATTAAACTATGACAAAAATAAAAAAGAAGTGAAGTTCGAATTCTTCCCATGATGCTTACTTCAATACAGTCTTTGAAATAGAAAATTCTTACATTGCTGGAACCCCCTCCCCCAAATGTGCCTGTGTTGTCCCTTTGGGGGTAAACTAGAACCACATTCAGGAAATACTGTCTTCACCAGTCTCTCCCTCCTCCCCCAGGGGCAGGAGGGACCACGTGACTGTCCACAGGGAAGACGTGGTCTCAGCTGGCTCAAGAAGGGAGGGGACTGGCTGAAATTTGTCACTGAAGCAGTAATATTGTGGCCCCAATGGAGCATATATTGCTCAAAATGAAGCTCAGGTGTGTGAATGCGGCCATAGTCACCACCTGGCCTCCTAGTCAGCACACGGACCCCCAGATTCCCAGCCCTTCTGAACACTGGCTTTGACTCAGGGGGCCCTTCTCCTCTACAGAGGGCAGGCATCCAGTATCTCTGATAAGCCTCTTCAGATTACATGGATTGTTGGTTATACCCGTTGTGTTTATTTAGACTTATTCTGTTTTATTCTTTCATTTGGATGATTTAAGACACACACAGTCTGCTAGTTACAATTTGGACACTTAAGCCATTTAAGTAGAAGCCTAAATTTTCCTAAAGCAAGCAAAGGCAGAAAGTAATGCCTTGAAGACCAGAATGTTGCACCTCAGAAAGACCATGTCACTAAGAGTGAGTCTACTGTAAAGACCTCCCATGAGCCTTTCCTTCCTGCTTTCCTCCATCCAGAGATAATATATAAACAAAATGTGCTGGCCTCATTTAATTGCCGATGTACTACAAAGGGAGAGTCTCATGAGGCGACTTGGTCCCCAACCACAGGAGGTCTCATAAATTACATCAAACAGGTTTCTGCCTCCATATATATGAAATGGTACTGATATCTCAGGGTGTGCTTTAAACACGACAACATAGCTTTTGGCAAATAATGAACAGCGGGACTCCAACTCCAACAAAGCCTATGGGCATTTTTCCTGAAAGAGGAAATACTTTTCACAGTTAAATAACAATAGAAATAGAAAGAAATGAAAAATTGCCAGAAAGGAACAAAAATGGGATTTCCAGCTGTGAGCTGAAAAGAGATGGGAAGGCATCAAGGTAGAAAGATTTAGAAAATGCTGCAATGAAGAAAAACTGTTCATAGAAAGAGGAGGTAACGATAGACACATTTCTTGGTCGGCGAGTCTGTGCAAACTTGCAGAGAAGTTTCAGAAGGCAAGAGCCTGAAATCGGCTTGCCACCCCGTTAAGTTGTCCCAGGCCATTATTATTGTAGCTCAGACCTAATAGGGTTGGACTTGCATTAGGTAGAGCCAGAAAGAGTTAAAGGAATTAAAAGGCCTGCACATATGATTTTGGTTTTCCTTTTTTTGTGTTAGCTTTTTCCCCTGGCTGACTGGGGTACCGGCCACTTAAATGTGAATTGCTGTTATTTCATATCAAATACTCTGTTTTGTTCCATGCCTTCCCAGCCTATGAGACAGAGTTGTGGAGTTGTTGTGACTCTTTTGTTTTCTGAGAAGGCGGTTGAAAAGCTAAGGGCATGGATCCGTTGTTCCGGGAGTTCAGGGAGCAGGCTTTTCTAGCTGTTTTGCCACAGAGTTCTTTCTTCAAAGCCAAAGCAGTAAGGACAAGATAAAGAACTTCTCCAAGAGCAATGAGCAAACTGATGAGTGGGTCTATACAGGCTTAGAATCCAGTGAGTCTAGAGGGAAGTGCGTGTGGAGCGAGGCCAGTGTTGGCAGGAAGGCTCAGTGTAGCCCAGGGTCAGCAAGACCAGAAGGGAAATGTAGTCTGATGGGTCAGAGAGCCCAGACCATGCACATTGGGAGGAATTGCGAGGTGGAAAGTATCTCCCAACAGACCTGCAAAGTGATAGGCCTGATGGGGCAGAGAGCTCAGGCCAGGCACCAGCGGGAGAGTCCTTCAGGGGACTTAGAAGGTGACCAGTGAGGACCACAGATCCCGTGGCCATTGGACCAAGTGTGAATACTCAGGACTTGCTACTCAGAGGGTGCTAGGGCCACAGACTGAAGCTTCCCACCTCTCCAGGGAGCTTGTCAAACATGTGGACTCTCGGGTTCCACGCCAGACCAGCAGTATCACACTCTTGGGGAGGGCGGGTAGTTCCCAACGCTGTGTTTTAATAGGCTCTCCAGGTGGTTCACTTTTGCCCTAAAGCGTTAGAACTCCTGGCTTAAAGGATCAGATGTCCTGAGGCATGTAGCGATACTTTAAGCCAACAGGAGAGTGTATATGCATTGAAAAGGCAGTAGGAGTTGCAGCAAGGAACCAAGGACCGTCTCATCTCTGCAGGGACCGGTGGCAGGCAGGAACTACACTCATAGAATAACTGGAGCATACAAGGCATACTCGAATTAAAAGGCAGGGGAAAAAGGTGTTGTTGTTGTTGTTGTTCCTTAAAAGAGAAGATACATAGAATTAGCTCTGCAGCTACAGTGAAATACAACGCATGAAGGGGCAAAATGGCCAAAGCCTAAGGCAGAAGAGCTGCGTGAGAGCTTGAAGAGAGCGTGCGCAGTGAGCCTCTTCCCAGCAGAGGCCACGGCTCCTGATGAATTCAGCAAATGCACCTGCTGCACACGGCTCATGGACGCAAGGCTCGGTGCTACATACGGCTACTGGGCACGCAGCTCGGTGCCTGCTACAGGCCACCACAGGCCACCACTCAGGGCTCAGTTCAATCCCATTTAATAATTATGTCAACATTTATTTGAAACAGGGTAGAGGATGGATTATTAATGTCATTACATAATAATGTCTATACATACAGGAATTGTGTAACACTGTGTAAGAAGTTATACTGGGGTACTCTGCTGATTATACCACTTATTGGAAATAAGCACATGAGATTTGATCAAATGAACAGAATTTCAAAGAGTAAAGCTTCCACTTTTAAAAAAGTGTGTCAGGGGAACTTCAGTCTTTGCTCAAATGTCAGCTTCTCAGCGGTGCCTCCTCTAACCAGCTCTCGCACCGCCTCGGGTCACGTGACTGACCCCTACCCGCCACCTCACCTTGCTCCCTTTTTTCCGTGGTGCATGCCTGCTAGCGTACAACAGAACTGACTACACTCATTATTGTCTGACCACTAGACTAGGAGTTTTCTAAGGGCAGGGATCTGTATTTCTTGTTCACAGATGAATTTCTAACACCCAAAAGTACCCACGGGTTCAATTAATATTTGCTGAATAGATAAATTAATTAGTACTCCTATCACAGAAATGCAGCAGAAAAGCAGATGTTTTACTGGGATTTTTCTATTATTGAGTGAAACTAGTTTAAGCGGTACTAGAACTAGTATCACCTAGTAACAAAGACGGTAACTTCGAGAGCATCTGCATATCTTTGCTGCCTGCTTACGGCAAGGGAGGAATGGGAATTTTCGAAAGTGAAATTTGGGGCCAGGGGCCGGGGGGTGGTGTTTTGTTTTTTGGGGTTTTTTTCCTTAGTGAAATTTTGTTTTTGCTGTTTTTGTAGAGGGCCAAATTGCATCCATGCTGTTCTCAAATGTGACCTATATTTTGGTTCACTCTTCTCAGTGAGAGTCAGAAATATAGCTTCAAGTTGATAATTAACCGGCCAAGAAGCTCACGAGCCATTTTCTTCTCTGTAACTAGCTATAAACTCTCACTAAAGCACATAGGAAGTCCAAAGGTTGAAGCATTTTGGGGGACTAACCCAGCTAAATGCAGCTTTTCATGGGGCAGTGGAGAAACATAAACATTCATTTTAACTGGCTTTCGCACAAAGCACTTAGCAAATCTTTGAAGGGCTCCTTAGCGGGTTCAGTCTTTTGAAGAAGAGATTGGAACATCTTCAGAAAGAAGCTCATAAATTCAGGTTGGCATGACAATAAGAGAAACGGAGGATGTCAGAAGCAGACCCAGCCGCTGGCCTGTAGGAAATGGGAGCGGAGCATTGCCGGGAAAGAACCACACTGTACCGCTAATCTAAGGCAGGATATGGGAGGTTTTCCTTGTGATAGCAATAATGAGCCACTCCTCAGAGCACCGATATTCAGTGTGGAAGCAAATCGAACCCCAGCCCACCCCCAGGAATTGAGACAAAGTAGGTGTAGTCATCAAGAATTGTCATTCCTGTGGATAAAGGAAGCTGTTCAGTGGGCCAAGGCTATGAGGTCTTCAGGAAAACAGAGCACTCTCCATCCTTTAATTCTGCATATACCCGAGAAGTCCTGGGCATTCACATCAAGTTGCCATGTTGACAGGCCACGCCGAGCAGTGTGACCACGTAAGAATCAGTCTGTTGTCACACCTGAGACTCATAAGCCCACGATCACGAGGGGGCAGCTCTGCAAATGAGCTGGGATCCACAGATCCAGAGTTTGAAGGAAATCATTGTGCCCGAAAGAAATCCATCTGGGAGCAACTGATTTTTATAAAGACTTAAAACTTAGTGGATAGCCTCTGTAATATGATCAAGGTAAGAGTAACAATTGACTTCAGATGCTCTATAGCTAAGCCACTTGGCGAAAGAAATCGGATGGCCATTGCCCATGTGTTGGAAAAATTGTAGGTTAAACAGTGTAACTAAAATATTTAGTGCCATTGGTTTTTTATCTGAGAAAGAAAAAAAAAAGCCTCATTAATGGACACTAATCTGAGTGTTTCTAACAGAAAGTGGGAAGCCTTATGTTAGGTTTTTCCTTACAGTCCCTGGTTCAGGGAATTAACACACACACATTTCCCAGATGTGTTCTTCCTCATTTCTTGGCATGAGAATCACCTAAACATTTCAGAAGCATTTCAGGGGATAGGCAGAACTGTGAATGTCCTTTACACTAAGGATAGTGCTCCAAGGAAATATTCGAAGGAATAGAGCAAAAATCAGGAGGAGGTTTGACTGAGGCTTTTTTAAAGTTGCCTGGCCTGAAGAGCCAACTGGGAGTTTTACTTTGTTTTATTTTGTTTTTCCTTACCTCCAGCCTTGCAAGGCAAAGCAAAGTAAAAAAAAAAAAAAAAATTGAATCATTATCAGTCTCATAATATGCAGCCCCTAGTTTCCCCTGACATTTTTTTGAGCTCTCACTATGTGCCATGAGCAAAGTTAAATGCTTTACATGCATTATTTCATTCAGTTCTTTCACGAAGTCCATAAAGCAGCTCCCATTACTTTATTTCCCCATTTTGCAGATGAAGAAACTGAGGCTCACATAGGTTAAGATTTGCCCAAGGCCACACAAATAAGAAGTGGAGCCAAGATTCAATCCCCAGCTCATTACATGCCCAGTGGCCAATAACATCAGAATATTTGGGGTTAGAATTTTCCTTAAGGGTGATAACTGGTGCGCCAGGAAGCAAGTGTCCTCCAGACCTCGTGGCCATCAGCAACAAGTTCAAAACGTTCATTTCTCTAAAAGGAGTTAGCAACCTGGAAGAGTGGGAAAGGCCCCTCATTTTTCATTTTTCAAGTACATGCTCAGGTTTGGAGTAAGGGGTAGAATGTGGAAATAAAACCTTCCCCCAAGTTGTACATACATATAAAGAAATTATATCTATATATGATCTTATTGTGTATAATTAGATTTATATATAAGGAAATTTTAATATTATCTATAACTATATTTACATAAAGAAATTATGTATATGTGAGCAAAAATAGTTGAAATGTAAATATCCTTTCTTTCTCACGTTTCTCTAGATTTTGATTGGCGCCGTCATTGCCATGGGTTCAGCCGACAGAGACGGCCGCCTACACCCAGGAGACGAGCTTGTCTATGTCGACGGGATTCCAGTGGCTGGCAAGACCCACCGCTATGTCATTGACCTGATGCACCACGCAGCCCGAAACGGGCAGGTCAACCTCACTGTGAGAAGGAAGGTGCTATGTGGAGGTCTGTGGCTCAAGCCAGCAGGGAGGCTTGGGGATCGGGTGGTAAAATGCTTTTGTGGGACATGGTAAGGACAGGGAGAACAAAATTTTAAACCACTATCTGTATTATACAAGGACAAAAGTCAACCTAGATCTTCCACATGTGACCATGATTTCGAAAGGGCAGATTTTCACCCCACTGTAATTCCAAGCAATCTCTCAGCCCTACATTTTCAGCTCAGTCATTAAAAATTTCTAGCAAAGCCTGGGGCTAATTTAAAATGCGTATGCTCTTTGCTCTTTGGTGGATGCTAGTTATAAGAAGAACATTATGGTAGTGGAAAATACAGCTTTGGAAAGTGTTCCTCATTGTGTTTACAAACCAAGAACCACGGCATTTTGATACCATAATAAGGCAACTAGGATGGAAAATTAGCCTCCAAAGTAGAGCCTGATAAAAGGTAACAATAAAACTATGACAAAAATACAGCTGTATGTCACTCTGAGAAAACACAATTCATTTAACTCCAAGCTAATGGAACCGGTAAATTAGAAGTAATTATTCCCTTTACAGCCATTTCCTAGCATCGTGAAAGAATCCACCGAAGACTTCACTTTTAAATCAGTCTTCACAGTCCTAATATGATTTAGTTTATCTCTCTCCACCATCTCAATCCCCCAAAACGGTTTATAGTTCTATGAATATGTCTGTTACAAAAATCAACCATTTTTCATAATCTAAGCACTCAGTAACGTAGGCAGTAGGTCCCCAGCTGCCAGAGCTTTGCCCTGAGAATTACCTACTGCTCTCATGGCTGCTGGCCTCTCTGCTCAGCCCCCTGGGTCTTCTCATACAGATTAGGATGGACCTCAGCTGCAGGAGCTCCCACGTGTTACAGAAAAGGAAACCAAGGCCCAGAGGTTGGGTAGCTCACCCAGGAGTCTGCAGTGAAAATCAGTGATAATGCAGAGGCTCTTGCCTGCCGCCCCCGCCCCCACCACCACCTGTGCTTCTGGCTTTAGCCTACCTTCGGGCCCCCGCCCATCCCACCCCCAAGGAATTCAAAGATGTGAGACCATCCTTTAGCAAATGTCACTTCCTAACCCAAGTAGTCTTCCCTGTGTTATTATTATAAGGCATCTGAATTAAAAAAAAAAAAAATAGTGGGGGGTTGGGTGCCACTGGCTAATCACAGGCTGTGTGTGACTAGGGAAGATAAGACTTACTAATTGAACTAAAGACCCTTTTCTATTCGAGTCTTCTAGAAACTAGACTTTGATCAACGGCAATCGTTTAAAAGGGCAAGTCGCAAGAATTGTCAGCCCTCACCAGTACAGACTGCTATATATCTTGTATCGTGTGGAGGTTTTGCTAAGAAGTGCCATTCATCTTCAGAAATTCATGACATACCACTTGACCCAAAGAAGTAAAACACCTTGAATCCTGCCTTATCCTGGGGCAAGATGCCAGGAGGAAGACAGTGTTTGCTTGGTTAACATTTAACAGTCTCTCTCCCTAAGAGTGATTTTTAATAAAAAGTTTGCCGTGCTATATGTTCTGTAACCCACAGATAAATTAAAAAGATACCTGATTTACAAGGAAATATACTGCAAGGTGCAAAACCAAGTGCACCAACATAATTTCATGCTCCCCTTGCCACCAGCTGATTATTGCCAATTAAATTTTGTTTTAATCAACCCACGCTATTGGAGTGCATGCCAAATGCTGCAAAAATGTATTCTTGCAATTTGTGGATCATGTGACTTTTGTGAAGATGCTCTTTGCTGCAGTTCTTACCAACTTTACTCATTTAGGTTTTCAAGTGCATTTCAAGTGCATTTAATTTTTGAAAACGTTCGGCTGCAGACTGCTCGTTCACACCAGGAGTGTTTTCCAAGTTAATTCAGCTCACTCTTCCTTGAAAGCTTCATCAGTATTGAAAATGATTAAGTTCAGGAAAGGATACTTTGATAGTAAAGTAAATGCCTAGAAATAGGATGGAACAGATTTTTTAAAGGCATAGGAAGACAGCTTTTCTTCTTAGCTGCTGTTTCTCCAACAGGAGAAAGGACAGCCACAAATGGATATGACAGCGAAGATGCCTTTTCAAGGACTGTTATCATTATTATTGTGCTTTCCCAAGCAAAGGCAGTGGGAGGTGTGAGCCTGACTTACAATGAGATGGTTCAAAGCTGAAGGAAGTGAGCAATCAGCTTGTGAAGAGACAGAAGATATGTGAGAAAAGGGACAAAGTTGCCACCTTCTTACACAGAGAAGTGGTATCAGGAGCTGGGAAGAAGGGGGGGCGGCACTCACAGAGGTTAAAGCCTTCAGCCTTATGCTTGCCTCAGCTTGTGCAAATGTCCTTTCCCTCCTCAGAAGGCACTAGGCACTGGCTTCCAACACTCAAGAGAAAAAGAGAGAAAAGCGCAGGTATTAGGAGAGATAATGCCTAGTTAGTTACATCGGGCAAAAACTAAAGTAACGCAGAAGCTTCTGCAAATATTAAAATATTTTAAAAGTGTGCATGCTAAGGCTAGAAAGGCGAGGTTTTCAATGAGGGAAAGACAAGCTAGATCCTCAAAAAGGAGAAATTGTGGAGTAAAGGAAGGAAACATCCCATAATACATTTAATTTTATTACGAGATAATTATAGCACAGGTCTCGCACTTTAAACTAGTTTTGAGGGGCGCCTGGGTGGCTCAGTTAAGCATCTGCCTTTGGCTCAGGTCATGAACCCAAGATTCTGGGATCGAGCACCACGTCGGGGTCCCTGCTCAGCAAGGAGTCTGCTTCTCCCTCTTCCTTTCCCTCTCTCCCCACGATTGCTCTCTCTCACACACACACACTCACTCTCTCTCCCAAAAAATAAATGAAAAGTTTTAAAAAAACCTTTTTTTTAATTTAAAAAATAAACTAGTTTTGAGAGATGTTTTACCCACGCCACCAGCGCCAGTGTTTAGCTATTTTTTCCCCCAAGGATAGTAGAAGAGCGGCTTTAATTATTACACTGAAGTATAAATATTTATATATTTAGTAGCTCAGCTTTGAGACGTTCAACCTAATGACATATTATTTTGAATACACACTATTCGTCTGAGAGAAGGGTGTCTCTGAGGAATTTCCACATGTGTCAATCTAGAATTGATGTGAAAGAACATTTTATGATTTAATCAAAACACGTTAGAGTCCGTCTGAAAGCTATCCATCAGTACTCTTCTCTCATATCTAAGGGAGAGTCTAATTCTCAGCTTAATGCCAAGAAAGAGAAGGCTTTCTTGGCAGCTGGCTGAAAGGTGCCCCTGGATCCCCCAGTCCTGGTTACTAGACTTTTTGTTGATTCCAAACATGTTCCCTTCTTCTTTGTCTGTGAGCAGGTCACCCGTCTAAATAAGTTGTCTGCTTTGAGGAATCTAGACCAGAAGTACACCCACTCAGATGCCTCGCAGGCGGGTCAGCCCCTCGCTTTGGTGGGGACCCAGCCTGTGGGCTGACCCCTGCTCCATCAGGCCCCATTGGGTTGTACACTGCGTGTGGACACTCCAGCCTGGGCTGGCAAGACCCACTGCCTTATTAGGAGAAGGAAAGGAAAAGTGAATTGGGGGAAATCGAAGGGGGAGACGAACCATGAGAGACTGTGCGCTCTGAGAAAGAAACCGAGGGTTTTGGAAGGGAGAGGATGGGGGCGTTGGGTGAGCCTGGTGGTGAGGACTAAGGTGGGCACCGATTGCATGGAGCACTGGGCGTGGTGCATAAACAATGAATCTTAGAACACTGAAAAAATTAAACTAAATTTAAAAATTAAAAAAGATGAAGAACTTTGTTCTAGAGGTTGAAAGCAAAGTCCAAAAGCAATAGAACAGTATTCTTTTTACTGTTTTGCACTCTTCCCCTTCCCCAGCCACCATTCACGTTGAATAGTCAGTGGCGTTCTTTCGGGGAAACCTCTAGAACCCAAGGGAGAGCTGCTCCCAGACACTTACTGCAAAGACAGATCAGTTTCCTTTGTTGCCACTTTATTGACAGGCACAGCCCTCAATCCCCTAAAATATGACAGCCAGAAAATGAGATCTCTCTTGTCATTGCCTATGACATTTAGTTACTGATTTGGTCCAATAACTCAGGGAGATTTTCAATTTAATGTTGCAGCCTAATAATTGTTTGTTTTTCTTCCTCCCGACTATCTCTAATCACTTTATTTCCAATTTGCACAAGGACTGATAAAGGACATGTACTTCACCAAGACCGTAACAGCTTGTCTTTGAATATTTTCTAGTGGGGAGGGGACATTTTACAAGTAGTTTTAAATTCCGGTAGAAAAGAGGGAAAGGCTTTGACATTGGCATTTCGTTCTTTTCTCACCTCAATACATTTCTTACAGATGAAAAGCATCCATTTGTCTTCTTTAATTAAAACCTGATTAATTAAATCTTACCGAAAAATTCAAATTTATCAAATGATAATAAGCAGCAGCCTGGATCTTATTCTGCTATTACAAACAAGAAATGAATACATTTTTGTAAGACTATTTTATAATCTGAGTGTATGAATAAATGCCCTTCCTTTTTCTCTACATATCAGTAGAACAAAAATTCTCTTGTAGTCTGTGTTCTTTCTCCCTGATTTTTGAAATGATTTTTGATTTTTGAAATGAAAGGATTTTTCACTTCAGAATGGAATTGCAGTTTATCAAGTTAAGAGCCTTCGCTGGGACTTTTGCTAATTATTTTTATCTTGCCATACGAGACACCTACCAGAGCTCTAAATGGGAGGCCATATCTAAAGACCCAAAAAAGAGTCATTATTTGTGGTTACTTTCCTTCTCACTGTTTCTCTGTTCCAGAAACATCTTTTGAGCAAACTAATCAAACTGTAAGATGAGATGAAACAGTCCTATTTCTAGTTACAATATTTTAGGTGCCCGCTTCAGTTCTTTTAACCAGAATACCAAAACCTAAGTATTAAGTTAAAATGACAAAATTCTTTATCAATAACAGGTGAACTTTCATTTTTAAAAAGTAGCTTCTCTTGGCTGCCAACGTTTTATCATTTCTTCCTGTAAATAAGCTTGTTTTCTCATGGAAGTATTTGTTTGGTTTATCTGGCTAATAATAGAGAATATTTTGAAATAATACAGCATAAAAATGAGCAATGCCACCCACACCTCATTCAGAAATTCAAAACTCATCATCCCCTTGGCCTGACTTCATTGTTAGATTTAATCCTAGAGTAAATGAATAAAAGAAGGATCCTTTAAGAAAGATGTTTTCCACCTACATGGAGTGAATTAATGCCTCTAAAACTGTGATTATGATGGGTCCCTTTACATTGACATCCTGGGCTGTTAGCCCCACTAACGGTACCCCTCCAGCAGCATTGCTCAATGGTGGCCTAGAACTCTTACTGGGTTTCTCTCTCCTGTGCCCAGTCTTCCTAAATCTACTAAAAACCCTTTCCAGGGGCACCTGGGTAGCTCAGTGGGTAAAAGCTTCGGCTCAGGTCATGATCCCAGGGTCCTGAGATCGAGCCCCACATCGGGCTCTCTGCTCAGCAGGGAGCCTGCTTCCCCCTCTCTCTCTGCCTGCCTCTCTGCCTACTTGTGATCTCTGTCAAATAAATAAATAAAATCCTTTAAAAAAAAAGAAAACCACTTTCCACACGTGGACCCTGAAGATACAGTCTTCACAATTTCTTTAAGTAATCCTGCGCACAATGCAGTTTAAGATACTGCCCTCCTGTTTTGTAATCTTTAATCAGTTATCATTATGAAACTAAGAAGCTCAGTATCCAGGGGTTCCTGGGTGGCTCACTCAGGTCAGCGTCTGACTCTTGTTTTTGGTTTAGGCCGTGATCTCAGGGTCAGATCGTGAGATGGAGGCTCGTGTGGGGCTCCACGCTCAGTGGAGAGCCTGCTTCCCCTCTCCCTCTGCTCCTCCCTCTGCCCCTTCCCCACCCCCTCTCTCTCAAATGAATAAATATATCTTAAAAAAAAAAAAAAAAAAGCCAAAAATTAAAAACCAGGGGTGTTTCCGGGGGGGGGGGGGGGGGGGGGGGGGGGGGGGGGAGTGTTGCAGATTTAACAAGAGGAAAATATAAACTAGTAGCAGCACAGAGGAAGCCGATGAGGGTTTAGCTACGTTTGCCGTGAAGAGTGGAATGGGGCTTAGACCTGGGTGCTCTGTAGCTGGGTTTGTAGCCCTTCAAATACTCTACACTCGTGAGGACTAGAAGCCAGTCAGCCAGTCTTATCATGATGCTAATGTCTAGAACTGCACCTAGTACGCAGAGGCACTCATCAAGACCCTTGTTACGTAACCGAGTGCCCGGGCACACTGTGTTTTGCAGGGGAGCCCTGCCCAGAGAACGGGAGGAGTCCAGGCTCCGTGTCAACCCACCACAGCTCTCCGCGCAGTGACTACGCCACCTACACCAACAGCAACCACGCTGCCCCCAGTAGCAATGCCTCTCCACCTGAAGGCTTTGCCTCCCACAGTCTGCAGACCAGCGATGTGGTCATTCACCGCAAGGAGAACGAAGGCTTCGGCTTTGTCATCATCAGCTCCCTGAACAGACCTGAGTCCGGATCCACTATCAGTAAGTGATGGCTTCGCTTGCCTTTGAATAAGGGGTCTTGGGCTCATCTGTTCTTGGTAGGGATACTGGATGTGCGGATCAGAAGTCCGTTGTAGGCACCCTGGGGAGCCAGGAACTTACAGGCTATGGGCCAAAATAATATAATTTAATGTAGGATTAGCAAACATTGCTCAACCTTCAGTTCAGAAAGAATGCAAGTTCACATCTAATGTCCCCCTGACCCCATAACCCCCATAAAAGCTCTTTGTTCCTATTATAGTGGGAAGAAAATAAAACTGAGTAGTGTGAGAGTATTGGTGCGAGAAGAGCTCCTTCCCGCTTGATAGAATGAAACCAGATATGCAAAGGATCTGGGGGGAGAGCCGTCGAGGAAGGAGCTCAGTGTTCAAGAGCTCTACAGAAGCCCAGTGTGGCGATGACAAAATGGACGTGAGAGCGACATGAGACTAAGAGGACTAGGCAGGAGCCAGGCTGCGCAGGGCTTCACATGCCCACGGGAAGAAATCTGGACCCTAGTCTAAGTCCATGAGAACTATGGAAGGAAATTATAAGTACATATATTTTTAAGTATTTATACTATTTATATTATTTATAAGTATTATATATACCTATGCTTTTTAAGTCCGTTCTTGTACAAAATGAAATCGGGGGAAGAGAGCAAGAATGGAAGCCTGAGACAGCATCAGGAGGTCATGAAAACTGTCCTTGGGGTGCCAACATCCTGGAACCTTGTCCTAGGCTGGTAGTAGTGGATGGGGGGTTGTACATGACTTCACCAAGGGCTCCTCCAAATCTGTGAGTGTGTACAACAGGTATCATCAGAGGTTGTGTTTCTCTTGCAATTGGTCATCTTGTAGACCCTCAGTCTTCCTTGGCGGTTTTCCTTTCAGGAACAATATTCCAGAAGTTACTTGGCTGCCAGCAGGCGGTAGGACAGTAAAGGCAATAGGAAAACTTGCTCGTTTGCCATGTTGAAGTGATTTAGCCCAAAATATTACGGATAGAAATACCAAAATTGAGAGCATTGAGACAAAAAAATAATTAGGTCATGTGGTAGTCCTAAAATTCTTATAACTGATTATTTCTAGCATGTGGGGTAAGGGAGGGGTGTCAAACAATACTCAAGGAACCAAATCATTGAGAATGAATAAGAACTTTTTATGATACAGTTAATGTTTTCAAAACACCTCCAGGACTGAATGGAAAGAATGACCCCGTTTCACGTTACCTTTGACAAACTCAAGAATGAAAACTATGGAAGTGTTGAACCTCAATGAGTATGTGCAGAAATGCAAGTACATGCATCTGAAAGTACAATTTCATTTCTCTTTCCCTGCATGATAAGATGAAGGAATAAATCCCATCTTAAAGCATAGGGTAAAAGCAGGATTCTGCCAGTGCGATAGATTCACCAGATTGAAAGGACATAAGACTAAAGATTTTCATGAATTATATAAACAGCGTTCCAATCATTTATACTTGGGGGAAATGTTCAGAGAGCTCTTGTACCTGTTCCAAGTAGACCACCACAAGGAAACCATTCAACATGTATTTAAGGTCTCAGGTTTCTTTGAAGTGTGATGGTGTTATTACTAAATGCATAGAGAATTGTGTGTGTGTGTGTGTGTGTGTGCGCACGTGTGCGTGTGTGTGCATGTGTGTGTGCGTGTGTGTGCACACATGCACTTATCACATAGAGAAGCCACAGATGCTTTTTCGATTGCAAATCAAATCCATGCATAAGTAGATCTGGAAAACAACAGGTGCAGCTACTTACAATTAATGTGAATTTTTCTTCCAACCAAGTGACATTAGAGTGACCTCAAAAGAATAATTCTAGTCATTTTCAAAATGGTATTATTTTACATCACCCTGGAGAGTGGAAATGTATTCATGATGCTTCCTGCCTTCTTTTTTCACATGTTTATTTCTTTTCAATTTAAGGCGTTCGAAATGCAGGTTGCCCCCATGCTCTGTGGGAAGAGCAGTTATTATACTGATGGCCTGTAGCGTTTACAATATATAATTTGCAGCAGGCACCTAAAAGCTTTCTGGGCCTGATGCTGTTTCATACTTAACTTCTGTTATAATTTTGAGCTCTAATTTTGAAGAGAAAGGCTAAGTACCTCATGAATGGGAAAGAGCCCTCCTCGTGTCACATATCCATTGTCAGAATAGCAAAAGTCCTTTATTCTGTGAGACTAGAAAGCATGATACCATCAGGGACTCGGGAGTCACAATCATTCCTGGGGCCTGGGTCATTTTTCTCTTCATGTCTTACCTGAGCCCAAAGACCACCAACATGATCGTGGTTCTTCTCATCGCTACTGAGCCTCCTTTGTTGGCGGACAGAGCACTGTTACACCTTTGAGAGGTGAACCAGCTAAAATCGTACTGCCGGGCTTCATCGTCTCCTACCTGTGTGACCTTAAGGAAGTCACATGACTTCTTTGGGCCTCAGTTTCCTTGGCTGTAGAGACAAGATAAGGTTAGGATCTCTGTTGAGAGGTTGCTCTGAGGGTTAAATGAATGAGTACAGGGAAGTGCTCAGAAGAGCTCTGGTTCAGAGTAAGCACTAAGTCACCGTTGCTGTCCAGACCAGCGTTAACTTTCTGTTCCATCAGCTGCCGCTTCTCGGATAGTCTCTTCCGTCAGGCGTGAGTCAGAGCCCCGACTCTCCCAGAGCAGCCGATGAGGGCCCAGCTCCCCATCCACGTGCTGACCTTCTGGGAGCACAGTCTGCCCCACCGGCCACCCACCTGCAGCCTGGTTCAGTGGGGAGGGACGAGAGCAGTGGCAGACACACCAGTGCAGCTGAGTGTGCGTTTCTTTGCCGAGGCTTCAGGCTGGAAGTCTCCCCAGAATTCACTAGCCAATAAACTAGAAAAGTCACCGGAAACATCAAAATTCAGACCTGAAGCTGTGCCTTTTAGAATCGCCTACAAATAATATGTCTCTATGGACTGTATCAGAGAACACAGGAGAGGTGGAGAACCCACGTGTAAATTTCACCACCCTGAAGGTGACAGAAGGAGTTACTTCCCATAGCTTCCTCGGTCCAGGAGAAAACTCTGCCAGGGATGCCAGGCGGTCGACCAGTTGATAACTTGGGGCGTTGAGTTCCTGGCTTATTTACTACCTGGCATTTAGTCTGGCTCATTACCAAGCCTCACGTCTTTTTTTCAAAGTATTATTTCCCAAAAAATTAAGAAGAAATTCCCTTTATATTCATTAATGTAATTAAGGAACACACTGCTTCCTTCCAAACCAGTAACCCAGGAGGCCAAATACTGCTTGGTAGCAGACGGAACTTAGAAGCCCCTGTCTGAGGTACAAGAATATTCTTCCTGATATGAAGTGGGAATAAGCAAGTTTCCTGAGCATTTTTATCCCATTGTCCAAAATATTAAGTATTTTTTTTCCAGACCTTAAAATTGGAGCCAAGGTGGGGTGCCTGGGTGGCTCAGTCGGTTGAGCATCCGACTCTTGATTTCAGCTCAGGTCATGATCTCAGGATCCTGGGATCGAGCCCCATGTCAGACTCTGTGCTCAGCATGAAGACTGCTCGTCCTCCTTCCTCTGCTCCTCCCTCACTCTTTCTCTGTCTCTGTCTCTGTCTCTCTCTCTCTCAAATAAATAAATAATATCTTTAAAAATATTAGATCCATGGAATAACGAAATGGCTTATAGAACAGAGCTTAGGCTAAGAGTAATCGGTAATAGGCAACTGAATTTTAAATTCTTAAGAAGACACTAACAAAGGTTTGTATGCAAACAGGTCCATTGCCATAGTATTGATAAACATAGAATATTGGAAACAACCTTACAAGCTTCTCAAAACTGGAAATTTGGTATATTGGGGACGTTCAAGGCATTTCCTGCCTTTGACGAACTCTCTTGTCATGGAGGTCTGTGTACACAGGGGAGAGAAGACTCGGTAACGTTCTGACTCCGAGTGGAGCACAGGCTTGCTCTATAATGATGTCCCGGTGGCCACACACAGTGGGGTTGATAGGTTGGCCCTGACATCCGGGTTCTATCACAGAACTATAACCTGACCTCGTAGGTGCTTGCTTTGGCCCCCACCTGCCTCAAACCCACTCTCCCACCACAGGTTCCCAGGAAAGGCTTTGGCACAAATGATGAAATAAAAGTGCCCCTCAGACTCCTGGTTTTCTGTAATTTGTCAGGAAGGTTATGTTGGCATTTATGGGGTAGACACACATGGGCAGTGAGACCGCAGTGGGGGGGGCAGCTTGTGCAGGGAGTCTGTAAACCGAAACGCAGGCCCATAACAAGCTGCGAGGGAGGACATGTTAGGGACAGCAGGGCACCATCTTTCCCGCCCTTCCTGCCTTCGTTCCTGTTGTCTTAACAGCCTGGACTCTGTTTTCTGTGGGGGTGGGGCCTCTGGAGCTGCAGAATCAGGGGCTGAGCCTTTCTGGAGGAGGGTGAGTGTGAGGCAGGCACCAGATATTAGGGTGCATGAGAAAGGAGGTGAGAGGAGCAGATGGAGACTGGTGATGGGGGAGGATTTGGTGATCATTCTGGAGGTGTGGAGGTGCTCTTACCTGTCCCAAAGTACCAAGTCATAGGCAGGCACTGTTGCAGCCTAAGTGGCTGGTGAGGGCTAGGGCCCTCAGGGAACCCCCTCAGCAGGCTAGAGTCCCCATCCTAGAAAGGAGCCCCTTCCCACACAAGTCCCTGGCCATTGGCCTTCCTTTGTACATCAGAAGGCTCTGCACACCCTTCAAGCTGCTCTTGGCTTACAGAGGCATCAAAATTTAAAAAAAAAAAAAAAGATATGAGTGTATCACGTGTGAGCACACTGCTGGTGCTGGTGCTACAACTCTCTGTTTCCACATGTGTGCTTCCTCTGACACGGCTTGGAGTACAGACTTGGTCATTGTTAACTTGCCCTCAGGCCCACCACAATCCAACATTCTAGAACAAGTTAGTTACCTTCAGTAAAATGCCATGATGACTTTCCTCAAAGTCTT